ATAAAGGCCGTTCTTCCTGAAACCCTCACTTTTTCCCCCCTCCAGTTTCTTAATAGTATTTTTGAACATCAAGTTCATGTTAAATTTTGTTGATTGCTTTTCTGGATTCTGAGATACGATTGTCTGGTTTTTCACCTTTGAGTAACTTCCTAAATTTTTCCAAACCCGTTTTCCGCCTGTAAAATGCGATAGTGAAATGAGATCATTAAGTTAGATGATGTGTGACTCAGGCAGCAGACTGCCTCAGCTCCCTTCCCTGCTGTGCTGCCTCAGTCCCACCTCTGTATGCTCTCCAGGGACCAGAGGCTGGCCAGACCATTCCGGGTCATCAAGGAGGGGGGCCTGTGGCTGGCCCCCAGTGCCACTTCCTGCTTTGCATGGTTGCAGGCTCCAGCTGCTTTGTAGGCCAGGGGAGGGCTTGGACTTTTACCCCAAAGAGCTCCCCTCAGCTGTGGGCAGAGCAGATAGGACCTGACTCTTGCTCACAGGCGGCCTCTGGTGGCTGCTGTGAGGAGGACAGACGAGCGTGGTCAAGGTCTGAGGAGACTGCTGATCCTGGTGAGCGATGTTGCAGCTGAGAGCAGTGGGAGCAGTGGGACAGACTAAGGGTAGAGCCTGGTGCTGAAGGACATATGTTAAAGCCCCTTCCTGGCTCTAGGGGCCCGCAATGTTCTGGGAGCTTCTCTTTCTTGATTTCCACATTGAACATGTGAAGAAGTAGCTCCAGCCCGGCTGGCATGGCTCAGTGGTTGAGCATTGACCTATGAACCAGGAGGTTACAGTTCAATTCCAGGTCGGGCTCGTGCCTAGGTTGCGGGCTTGGTCCCCAGTGGGGGGCATGCAGGAGGCAGCCTATCAATGATTCTCATCATTGATGTTTCTCCCCCTCTCCCTTCCTCTCTGACCAATTAAATGTTTGTGTATACACACACACACACACACACACACACACTCATGGGCTCTGGAAAAAGTGTGTGTGTGTGTGTGTGTGTGTGTGTGTGTGTGTGTGTGTGTGTGTGAAGCAGTTCCTGCTGAGGCTTGTGTGTGCAGAGCGGGGAGAACTGTTTCTGTCCCTCGACCTGTCTGTCCCTTGTCCATCAGAAGTCAACAAGCCTTCATAGGTGTCTGCTAATGGCTGGACCAGACCTGTAGGCAGCACAGTTGTGCTTTGGGTAGGTCTTGGCCTGAGGTAGGGGCTGCATAGGGTCTGTTCTCCCAGCTTTACGTGTCAGACTCTTTCCTTCCTCGGGGTTAGTTTTAAAAGTTAATTACTTGAAAAAAGTGGGGTGGCTCATTCAGAAGATAATTGGTCCCGTCTTGGTCTGGGAGGAGCCCCACATCTGTGTGTGGTCTCTGCCATCCCCAGCCTGACCAACCAGTGGAGTGACCACCACCCCTGCAGCTGCGTGAGCTCTTGCAGCAGACTCACCCCTGCCATTGCCCCTCTTCTGAAGATTGTGGAGGGTCACTGCCCTCAGGCATCACGCTGTGAGGGGCAGATGGTGAGGTTAAGAAAAGGAATTCTGAGAGCAGGTGGGGACGTGCAGATGGCAGAACAGGAGTGTGGGCTGAGTAGCAGCACCGGAGGTGACGAGGTGCCACTCTGAGGGGAGGCTGGGCTGAGACCTGAAGGCCAAAGGGCTGGCATTGGGGAGACCTGGCGAAGGCTTGTTTTGGGCAGAGGAATGGCATGGTGCCAGTGCCCTGAGGGGTGTGTGTGTCCATTCCTTGCACTGCCCCCCCACAGATTTCAGACACCCTGGGCGGGGAGGCAGGATGACATGGGAGTATGATTTGTGGAGGAGCCAGGACCTCGGTGTAGGACCTACTTTGGCAGCCCTGGGACGAAGGACCTGGAGCTGCAGAAGACTCGGGTGGTCACCACTGGGTGGGCTCTGGGTCCAGGGGCCCCCACATGAGGTCTAGAATGTTCCACCCTGGTCCACCACTGGCTTCCTGCCTTCTCTCCTCTTCCCTCGCCACATCCCAAACGCAAACCATTAATTGTGCTGCTGTTAGGCATCCAATAAAAATATTATGTCAGCTTTCCAGCATCTTCTGGCCCCCGCTTGCCACCGGCAGAGCCTCAGGATGTGCCAAAGCCCAGGTTCGTCCCTGGGGCCAGGATGCCCGGGTGGGGAGTCTGACATCTGGAGTTGGCACCAAGGGTCTGGCTTGACTCCCATCTAAGTGGCGTATCTTAGTCCAGCTGCCCTGTCTGAGGCCCTGGGTAGTGACTCAGTCTGTTGGCTTTGTCCCCCAGCCCAGAGTCCCCTTTGATGGATCCTGTGGCTATGAACTTAGTCTCAGCCATTTGCCCCCCCCAGCATCAGTTTCCCCATCTGGACCATGTCCTAGGGTGTTTTAGCACCCCACATACACCGGTGGGCACTCGGTGTGACTGGGGTGGTGGTCATGGCTAAAAGAGGACACGAGTCCCCACCCCTGCTGCCTGGTTGCACCTATGTCAGCTTGGGTTTGCTTCATATTTATTTTAATTGAGAGAGAATTCATATACGATAAAATTCACACTTTCAAGCATACAGTTCAGCATTTTTTGTACCTTTACAATGTGCAACTGTCGCTGATTGGAACAGAGAAGGTTCCTCCTCCGCTGGGTAAGATTGACCCCTGAGCCCTTACCTGGGCTGCCTCTCTCTGAGGACCCCTTTGGTCTCCCTCTCTTCCTTCCTGACCCAGGCTGCCTGGTCCACTGTCAGAGTTCCAGCTCTGTCCGCACCCTGATGACACCCACAGGCCTTCTCCAGCTACAGACTCGGGGTCCAGCTGCCCCTAGATGTCTCCGCGTGGAGGGCTCACAGGGTCTCACACTCAGCACATCCACAACGCGCCTGTCCATCCCCCCAAACCCGCTCCTGCCCATCCCCCTGGCAGCTGGCGGCTCCTTCCTTCTGTTAATTGCTCCAGTCAAAATCCTTAGTCATTTCTGACTCCTTGCCTCTTCACTCCACCTCAGTGAGTTCAGCCTGTCTGTCCTATCTTTAGATTTCTCCAGAATCCGCCCATTTCTCCCCGCTCCTGAGCCTCCACCGTGGTCCACCCCTCAGCTTCCACCTAGACCAGGCAGTCCTCTTGCTCTGCTTGGTCCCTGGCTCCTCCCCTAACCCCCTACCCCACCCACATTCTGTCATCCTCTGCAGCCACCAGAGGGCGCCTGTGAGCCACAGCCTTCCAGGACACCCAACTCCCTCAGGGTCAAAGCCCAAGATCTTTTTTTTTTTCTTTTTTTTTAAATTTTTGCTTTTTATTTATTTTTTTAAAAATCAATCTTCATTGTTCATATTATTACAAAGGTTCCTCATTTCTTCCCCCCTCCACCAGGTTCCCACCCCACACTCCGCCCCTCCCCATCCCCCATTGTCCTCATCCATAGGTGCACAGTTTATGTTCAGTCTCTTCTTCCCTCCCTTTCCCCGATAGTAAATCCCTTTTCAGATAGTAAATCAGTTACTTAGCATTTTCTCATATCAATAATACCTCCACATGCCCCATGATACACTTCACACAAAAGACATTTCCCACTAGGTCAACCAGCCTCATCCAGGCCCCACCCAAGGCACTCACAGATCAACACCCCAGCCCTATACTAACTCAACACATCCAGATCTAAGCCTTCATCATTTGATTCAGCAGACCCTCAAGTTCCCGCAAAAGTTTCCAGCCATGTCTGAGAGGCAGCCGTGGGGCAGGGGCAGGCGAGGAGCGAGCTGTTCCGGGCCTGGCTGCTCAGGGCCTGGCCTCTGTTGCTCTGGTTCGTTCCACAACCAGCTACTCCGGGTCTGGTCACTGCCGCTCCTGACCTAGTTGCTCTGGACTTGGCTGCTGCTGCTCCGGGCCTGGCCGCTCCCAGCCTGGCAGCCGCTGCTCCGGGCCTGGCCGCACCCGACCCGGCTGCTCCCCCAGGCCTGGAAAGCCCAAGATCTTTGCTAATCTTCCCCCGAGAGCAGTGGCCTGGCTGTCCTGGTCATCACTTGCTTCCCCCCAGGTGATACCTAGTGAGTGAGTTTCCTGTTGCAGCTGAAACAAATCACTGCCATCTTGCCTTAAAACCACACACATTTATTCTGGGGTCAGGAGTTTGACATCTCACTGAGCTAAATCCAGGTATGGGTAAGGCTGCTTCCTTCCTGAGGCTCCAGGAAGAACCATTTCCGGCCTTTTCTAGCTTCTAGAGGCATCACATCCTTGTTCATGGCCCCTTCCTCCATCTTCACAGCCAGCAACGCAGCCTCTTCCACCATTCGCTCTGCCCCTCCTGCCTGCCTATACAAGGACCCTGTGATGACACTGCCCACCGGGGATCTAGGGTCATCTCCATCCCAGGGGCCTTCACTCAGTTCTGCCTGCAAAGCCCGTTCTGGGGTCAGCATGTGGACACCTGTTGTGGGGAGGGGGCGTATCTGCTGCCCACCCTCAATGAACAGATGATCTTCAGCAGAAGCCACTTTCCTGGTGAGGACAGGGCTCAGAGGTCAGTGGCGGGCCTGAGGCCTCCCTTCTGGGAACCGGAGTTGAGGGACTGGTCCTGAAGGGGGAAAATTGCCTGCCTTCTCCCTGTGAGCGTGCTTAGGCCGGGGGAGCGCTCCCGGAAGCTGTGGTAACACCAGGCCTTGGCTGGCTTCCCATGGCTGCCTCCCTGGACGGCCAAGAGAGCTGGCAGCATTGCCTTTCCTGGGGCCCCAGCCACTGCTTACTGACCACCAATAAGGACCTGATGTCTTTGGGGTAAATGGTGGGTCAGAGTTGGGGTGGTCTCTCCTACTGTTCCTGCCTGGGGGGTACCCAGCACCCAGTCATCCCGCCATCTCAGTGTGTTCTGTCTCTGTGCTCCCCTTCCCCACAAGGGGTTCTGTGGTCCTCCCTAGGAACACAGTACCCAGTGAGGTTGCAGGCGCCTGTGTGTCCGAGGGCAGGTTGGCGGTGGGCCCTGTGGATTGGACTCCCTGCTGCCAGTCTGAAGTCTCCCTTCTCTTCCTCAGGTTTGGCCCAGAAAAAGACGGCCCTGGCAGAGGTGAGTGTCTGTGGTCCTATCCTGACTGCCTCCTCCACAGACAGCACCAGCCCTGCTTGTGTTCTGCTCTGTGGCCTCGGGCACCCCACTACCTCTCGGGGACCCAAACGATGGCAGGTGTGAGAGGGTGAAAATCCCACCACCTGCCGGCATGGGGAGTTCAGGAAGGGGTTCAGTTGGGGGAGGGATGAGGCCCAAGAACTCAGCCCTTGGGCCAGTGAGGGAAAGGGAGGGGGGAGGCCAGAAAGGGGAGGCCAGAGAGGTGGGAGGGAAGTTGGGCAAGTGGCAGGCCCTGAGGATCTCACCAGGAGGTTGATGCCTGACCAGTGCCTGCTAGCAGCACCTTCAGTGTAGTGTCCCTAAGCGGCCACGTAGGAGCACGGGGTCCTTTTCATTCTCCACGCTGCGAGCCACTGTCTTCACCACCTCCCAGCCACGTTCCCGGAGAGCTTTCCCTGTGACAGCCGCTCTCAGGCATGTGTGCCGCCATGCTGTCCGTGGCCCTGCAGCCTGTCTTCAGTGAGGGTGGTACAGGGGGTCCCCACTGCGGTTAGTTTCCTGTCACTCCAGAAGGTGTCCCGGGGGGCGTGTCTGAGCCCCATTTTACAGGAGGAGCAGCCCAGGTGTCACTCCCTGATGCCAGTCACCATGTGAGTCCTTCTAAGGAGGGCATTGTCCACTTGCTGGGGCCCTGCAGTGCACTGAGATCGCAGGACAGTCTGGGGGAGATGGGTGGGCCTAGGGGCTCCAAGGGCAATAGGGAGCCAGTGAGAGGTGTGAGGCAGGGGCAGCAACAAAAGGTTCCTGAGGGAGTCCTGCCCCCTAGTGCCCAATGTGCAGAACATAAGCCAAGCTGAGGAGCGATGGCTGGTGGAGGCCATTTGAGGGCTGTCTGGAACTAATGTAGGGCAATGCCGGCTGGACTGGTGCCCGGAAGGACTGTGTGAGATTTTTGAATGGTGGTAGGTACATAGTAGGTACTTCTTAAATGTCAGTGACAGGTGGAGCCACCAGAGAGGCACTCAGCTCCTGTCTGCTGGCTGGCCTTGGCCCCTGATTCTAAACTGGCTTCTGTGTCCCTCCAGGCTCCCATTGCCCTTTCCACGGTCCTCCTCTTGTGATGATGTCACATGTGAGGGCCCGTAGCTTTCACACAAATGGGTTGGGATGGCCAGTGTCACACCTGCCACAGCTTCCCCTAGAGCTTCACGGGCTGGGCCTGCTCCCCGGAGGGGATGCTGTTTGTAGTTATTTCAGCCCAGAGGGCTGTTTGCCCCCAGGGGACACTGAATGATGTCTGGGCACATCTGTGCTCGTCACACTGGGGTTGTTCCTGGCATTGAGTGGGTTGGGACCAGGGATACTGGTTAATCGCCCAAAGTACCCAGGAAATCCCCCACAGAGAATGACCTGGCTCCAGTGTCAGCAGAACTGAGGGAAAGACCCCAAAGTTAGGCCTGGGGGGTTGGGGCTGCCCACCTCCAGCTTTTTCAAGGAGCTGGTGGCCTGGTCTGCCTGTGGGCCCTTCAGGACGTGAGGTATTGCCTGCTGGGTGTGCATCCTGCCCACACAGCTTCCCCCTGCATGACCCACATGGCCCGCCCTGGGCGCCAGCTGGGCACGGTGACTAAGCTCCTCTCTTGCCAGAATTTCTGGAGTGTTAGGGCCTCAGTGGCTCCTCCTTCCTGACTTCTAATGCTTCCTGTTTTTTTTTTTCTCTAGGCCCCATCTATGAGTGGACAGCCGGGCCCTGGTCACGGGAGGAAGCTGGGCCATCGGGGTGTGGACGCATCTGGTGAAACCACGTACAAAAAGGTTCTTCCTCTGCCCTTAGCCGGCTGAGGCGGAGTGAAGGGGGTCTCTCGGCAGTTCAGGGGACCCACCTGCCCCACACGCACATACACAGTGTCCACTGAGGTCATGGGCCCCTCAGTCCTGGCGAGGTCCCTGCTGCATATCATCATCTCAGGCAGCCTAGCTTTGAGGCTACACAGGCTGCACAGCCTTCCTGGTTCCAGGAGTCACCTCAGCTCCCAGCCCTGCTGGCTCATCTGTGATAGAGGAAATCATCCCTTTTCTCCCTCAGAAAGCAGGGCTGAGATGAGGCGGTAATGGGAAGCGCTGAGCCAGGCCCAGACACGTGAGTGTGCAGGGAGCCTGGAGCCCACTGCCATTAGTCCTCCCTTTCTCAGTTGTACTTTCTGATACACGTCTTTGCTGAGAGAGAGTACACGCACCATGTGATTTCCCCCTTTGAAGTGTACAATTAGATGGTCTCTAGAGTATTCACAGAGTTGTGCAATCATCACCACAGTTAATTTTAGAATATTCCCATCTCCCCTAAAAAATACCCCCTTGGGGTATTTGACCTATGAACCAGGAGGTCATAGTTCTTTTTTTTTTTTTTTTTTTTAACATATTTTATTGATTTTTCACAGAGAGGAAGAGAGAGGGATAGAGAGTTAGAAACATCGATGAGAGAGAATCATCGACCAGCTGCCTCTTGCACACCCCCTACTGGGGATGTGCCCGCAACCAAGGTACGTGCCCTTGACCGGAATCGAACCTGGGACCCTTCAGTTTGCAGGCCAATGCTCTATCCACTGAGCCACACCGGTCCCGGCATGGAGGTCATAGTTCTATTCCCAGTCAAGGCACATGTCCAGAATGCTGGCTCTAGCCCCAGTAGGGGGCATTCAGGAGGCAGCCGATCAATGATTCTCTCTCATCACTGTAAACCACAGTGATAAGAAAAGTGCAAACAGCGAATGCTCCTTAGGCCTAGGCAGCTTTTGGTCCAGGCCACTCACATGAGCTAACACACTCATCTCCGCTCCTGGCTACAGATGGAGAAACTGAGGCACAGAGAGCCAATGTCGCTCTCTGATCATGATGATATGAACCATCTAGAAAGTGGGTAGAAGAAACCCAGGCTACAGAAATGAAGTGTGGGTGTCCCTCCATATGTTGTGCCCCTTCTTCCAAACAACCCTAATGGTGGATAGACTCCTGCTGCATCAGGGCAGTTTTGAGATGTTGGAATGTTCTAGAATCTTGATTGAAAATGGGCTTTGGTATCATAAGAGATTGTATTGGAGTCTTGGCCAACTCACTTCTTTGCTGTGTGGGTGTGCAGGCCGAGTGACTAGCCTGAGACCTGCAAATCTGTAATACATGCTAGTAGGACCCTGGGCCCAGGGCTGGCGTAGGGACTGGCCCGGGGTAGGTATTAATGTGGCTGCCTTTCCCCGCAGACCACGTCTTCCACTCTGAAGGGGGCCATCCAGCTGGGCATTGGCTACACCGTAGGCAACCTGAGCTCCAAGCCAGAGCGAGACGTGCTCATGCAGGACTTCTACGTCGTGGAGAGCATCTTCTTCCCCAGGTAGGCCTGCTCCCACGCCTCCCACAGCTCCCGCAGACCCAGGGCTATCATGCAAAACAGCCTCGTGTTCTCTGGGCTCCCTTCTCTGCTGCAAATAGCCTTTTACTGGTGTCTGTTTGACTTTGAAGTCTGATTCGGTATCCCATCAGGACGTGAGTTTGCTGCTGAGACAGAGAGAGCCAGTGTAATAGTGGGTATTTTTTAATAGGGGAAAAAAGATAGAAGTTTGTTTCTCTCTCTCTCTCTCTCTCTCTCTCTCTCTCTCTCTCTCTCTCACACACACACACACACACACACACACACACACACAAACAAAAGAAACCTATAGCCAATCCAGGGCTGGTCAGGTGGGTCCTGGGTTCCTTCTTGTTGCTCCACCATCCTCAGTGTATGCAGCTTTTCTAACCAGCAGCCCAGGTTGCTGCTTAGGCTTCTGCCATCGCATCTGCATTCTAACAGCAGGAAGGAGAAGGGCACAACCAGGAAATGACACATCATTTCTGGCCCACTCACAGCTCATTGGCCACACCTAGCTGCAAGAGAGGCTGGGAAGTGGTCTCATTACAGGGGGTCATGTGCTCAGCCACGCTGTGGACTCTTGCCAAGGAAGGAGGGGAGAGTGGATACTGGGTCTCCTGAGATGGGCCACAGCGCTCGGGCCCGTTGGAAGCCTCAGCTTGCCTTTCAGTGTGGCCACTTAGGCAAGGCCACACAGCACCTAGAGGCACCATCCCTCACAGGCTTTCCTCCCTCCTTCCCCCACAGCGAAGGCAGCAACCTTACTCCCGCCCACCACTTCCAGGACTTCAGGTTCAAGACCTATGCACCTGTCGCCTTCCGCTACTTCCGGGAGCTCTTCGGCATCCGGCCAGATGATTACTTGGTAGGTGTGTTAGTCAGTGGTTGCTTTGAAACAAGTTAGCACAGACTCAGTGGCTCAACTCACCACCTGGCTGTAACCTCACAGTTTTTGTGGATCAAGAAGTGGGTGCAGCTTAGCAGGGTTCTTTGCTCAGGGTTGTAATCAAGAGGTGGGCAGTAGTTGGGGTCTCCTGTGACACTATAGACTGGGGAAGGGTCCCATGCCAAGCTCATGTCATTGGCGGGACTCAGTTCCTTGCTGGTTGTAGGCTGGGGCTCCCTTTCCCTCAACTCAGGAGGGAGGGAGAGAGCCTGCCAGCAAAGCGATCATTACTGTCTCCTATGAGCTCATCACAGATGGGCCTCCCCACCCACTCACCACCCCCTTCCAGTACTCGCTGTGCAACGAGCCTCTGATCGAGCTGTCCAACCCCGGCGCCAGCGGCTCCCTCTTCTACGTCACCAGCGACGACGAGTTCATCATTAAGACGGTGATGCACAAAGAGGCGGAGTTCCTGCAGAAGCTGCTGCCCGGCTACTACATGGTAGGGGTCATGGGTTCCCACAGGGCTCCAAGGGTTGGGGGCAGTGCCCCGGGCTTCCTTCCAGCCCCTGTCTGCCTCCCTCAACCTTGTACCCCTCTTCCTGTCGGCACACACAGCAGTTCCGCTCCACACCCAGCTCCTTTTCACAGGAGCAGAGGCTCTGAGGCCCTGGCAGATGGGTCCCAAGGTTCTTCCTGGGTCCCGTGGCTTTACCCTCAGAGACCCCCGCAGGCAGGCCCCCACATTTGTGAGCAGGAATTTCTGTTTAGGCTCTGGCTTCCCATTCTCCACCCCACCGATGTCCCTGAGTCCTGGTCCAGAAATTGCGGCTTACGGACTGAGTGCTTCGGCATTGGTGACTCAGAGGCACAGGGGAAGAGGAGCGGGGCCACCAGCTGGCACCTCAAAGGACCAGCTGCTTGGGCATCCCCATCCTGCTATGGCTCAGGACTCAAAAGGGCATATCAGGCCCCTGGGCAGGGTTGGGAGCGGGGTCCTTATACTCAGGTGGGCTCCTGAGTGTCGACTTCCCTGCTGTACAGACCTAGTGGGGATGGAGACAGACCCTTCTGGGCGCTCTGCCCAGATTGTGACCATCTCCCCTTAGGGCGTCCCTCATCTGCCATGTGTGATCTTGGTGGGACCCTTGCGTCCCTTAGATCAGGGACCAGCAAACTTTCTGTAAAGAGCCAGACGGCTGTGTGAGCCTACAGCCTGTCTTTACAGCTCAGCTCTGCCACTGCAGCAGGAACACCACTATAGATAGGCCTGAGCGGACAGGCAGGCCGAGTGCCAATAAAACTTTATTTATGGACACTGACATGTGAGTTTTATGAAGGTTTTATGTCACAAAATGCTATTTTTCTTGTATGTTTTTTCAACTCTTCACTAACACAAAACCATTAGTATGAAAACAGGCAGCTGGACGGAGTTGGCCCTCAGATTGGAATTTGCCAGCTCCTGCTCTGGGGTTGGGGAACCCCCCGGTGGGCTGGGGAAGAGGGACACCTAGTCTGACCTGGTGGAAGCTGGACCCAGACACCTTGTGGTGTCCCTTAGAGTTCTTTACCGAAAGGCTATGTCTCTGCACCTGGCCCTCCTGGTGCTTCCGTTTGGATGGGGAGATAGAGAATTAAACTGGCTGGTGTGACCTGTGTAAAGTTGGGGTGCTGGGGAAGGAAGTGGTCGGTCAGGGGGCTTCCTGAGAAGGTGACCTCTGGCCTGAGATCTGAGTGGCTGTGTATGTGGCCAGGGTGTATGGGAGTGGCTACCAGGCAGAGCGTGGCCTCCTAGCTCCTTTCTACCTACACTTTCCTCTCTCTCACACCCCCCAGAACCTCAACCAGAATCCGCGGACGCTCCTGCCCAAGTTCTATGGGCTGTACTGCGTGCAGTCCGGGGGCAAGAACATCCGTGTGGTGGTCATGAACAACATCCTGCCGCGCATGGTCAAGATGCACCTCAAGTTTGATCTCAAGGGCTCCACATACAAGCGGCGGGCCAGCAAGAAGGAGCGGGAGAAGAGCATCCCCACCTACAAGGACCTGGACTTCATCCAGGACATGCCCGAGGGGCTCCTGCTGGACGCCGACACCTTCTCTGCGCTCGTCAAGACGTTGCAGCGGGACTGCCTGGTGAGCCTGGGCCCCAGCCCTGCCCAGTCCCACTGCAGGCACTGGCTCCCGTGCCCTGGCCAGTGAGGGGGGTAAGGGTGGGACCTTGGGACGCACGCCCCTGTGTGGTCCAAGCCTCTCTGAGCCTCAGTTTTCCCATCTGTGAACCGGCGATGCTGGTAAACACTAATGCAGTGTGAGCCCGAGACACATAGCCCGGCACCAACTCCCTCTGCTCCCCTCACCCCTGTGTCCTGAATCAGGTGTTCCTACCGCACAGCCCAAACCCACAGAAGCAGCGCGCCATGCTCATGGCTCTTAACGGGCACCTCAGGCCCAGACCTGCCCCACCACCCAGCACTCCCTGGCTCCGCGCTGCTCTCTCCCACAGTAGGTGCTTTTTAGGGATAAAGAATGCTCTGCAGGGTCTTCACGAGCTATTACAATCTCAGTCTGCCTGCGCCCACCCCACCCTTCCCACAGCCTGGAAGGTCAGGCCACTCCCCGCTCTAGCGATGAGGAAACAGAGACCTGGCAAGGGCGTCCCTGCCAAGATCCTCGGCTGTCAGGGGCTGGGCTGAGTCTTCTCTTGTCCTCTGCTCTGTGTCCCTGTCTCCTCAGCCCCCTGCCCCCAACTCACAGACCCTGTGGAAAACTACACAGTGTCACCAGAAAACCACTTTGATGTCTTGGGGCCTTTCGGCGTCGGGGGCTCATTCCCCAAACCTGAAGGTCACGTGCCTGGATTCCGCCGTGGGCTGGAGTGCATGTTGCATCCACAGCACCCAGCTCCCCAACGGCGCCAGGGAAGTGGGAACACAGAGCCAGCTGCTCTGTCTCAGGGGAGGAAACGCTGTCCTGGCTCAGAGAGGCGGCCTGGCCCAGGGTTACACCCACACCTCAGCCACCTTATGGGGCCAATCCCAGCTCTGCTGCCATCTGCCTGCTGCACAGCCTGGCCTTCCACCCTTGGTCCCCTTGTCTGTGAAATGGGGATAGCAACAGGATCTCCCTGCGTGGCTGTGGAGGCAGACGGACAGAGATGCAGATTGCGCAGCTTGGAGTCACCAGGTTTGGGGGCAGAGGTGTGGGGACAGGGCAGTGTGTGACGCTCTCCCCCACACACTCGGTAGGTGCTGGAGAGCTTCAAGATCATGGACTACAGCCTGCTCCTGGGTGTGCACAACATCGACCAGCAGGAGCGGGAGTGGCAGGCCGAGGGTGCGCAGAGCACGACGGACGAGAAGCGGCCGCTCGGTCAGAAGGCACTCTACTCCACGGCCATGGAGTCCATCCAGGGCGGGGCCGCGTGTGGGGAGGCCATCGAGACGGATGACACGTAGGTGGTGCGGCTGGCGGGGCTTCGGGCTCTTGTCTCTACCCACACCCTCTTGCCAGGTGTGAGCATGGGCAGGGAAGTTGGCAGAGAAGGCAAGCAATGACAAAGCAAACCAGGCAGAAGCCTGTCTGTGGCCAGTTCCTGGTCTGTACACAGGCACAGCGGTGTCTGCCCACCAGGCCTGGTGAAGGTCAGACAGATGACGCACAGCTGTGGCCAGGGTGTTTCCATCTTGGCAGACACTGATCAGCGGATTCAGGCCATTGTCCATCCACATGGGAAACATAGTGGTCCCCTCCCTCCTGCTGGACCCACTGTGTGAAGCACAACCAGACAGATGTTGAAAGGTGGCACAGGGTATGGAGATGACGGGATGAGAGAGTCCCTTTATAACAAGTTACCTAACCCAGAACCCCAGTGGGCAGGATGAGAACGTTGCTTCCCCAAAGATAAAAGGTGGCCATGCCAAATGGCAAGGTCATAGCGAGGAGCTTGTCCCCTGACTGCACCCACTCAGCCTCTGCCTCCCAACCTGACCCTTCCCTGAGAGTGATAACCACAGATATCCCAGGCATGTCCCGATGTCCTCTAAGGGCAGTCACCCCAGATGAGAACTGCTATGGATAAGTCGATTGTCCATGAGCCATGCACTGACCGTGCCGGGAACCTACATTACCCTGTTCTGTCCTTACGGGGGCCCTGAGGAGGAGGGGTCATCTCCCATCTTTTGCTGAGGAAAGAGGCTCAGAGGCGGGATGGAGATAGCTATCCTGTGTGCACAGCCAGCTGGTGGTGGGGCCGAGGCTCGAGGAGGCCACCAGCTGAGGAAGGCAGAGGAGGAACCAGGCACAGGGCTACGCCTGAGCAAGGTGGGCGGGAGTGGCATGTGCAAAGGCCCTGCACAGCTGGCCCTGACCTCAGACCATCCTGGCATGTTTGTAGGATCTGCACAGGGCCTGGCAGGGGATGGCAGGGCATGCAGGTGAGCTCAGTGGTGCATGGAGTGCAGTGAGCAGAGCCTGATGTGGGGGTTTGGGTTATGGTGGCTTTGGGATAGCTGCTACATCGTGTAACCTCATAACCATCTGGGCTGGGCATGTTCAGGATTGAGGCTACGTGAGGCAATTAACTCCCCAGACTGCACCCAAGAGCCCTAGCATTTCCTGCCTGGGAGTGTGCGTGTGCATATGTATGCAGAATTTGCAAGTGTGTGTGTGTGTGTGTGTGTGTGTGTGTGCAAGTTGCACAAGTGCATGCAAGTGCACCGTATGTATGTGTGTGTGCCTGCATGTACGTGCATGTGTATGTGTGTGTGCACCTGGGCCTCTTTGCTGTGACTCCCTCAGCAGCCTTAGGCCTCCAGCTTTGAATTTGAGCTGGCTGGTAGAGCTGCTCCATCCATGCCAAGAAGGGGGTCCCCTGTGCTGGGACCCCCGCTGAAGGTCCAGCCAAGCTACCATCTACAGGGTCATGTGGATTTTTAAAATACATTTTTATTGATTTCCGAGAGGAAGGGAGAGGAAGAGAGAGATAGAAACATCAATGATGAGAGAACCATTGGTCAGCTGTGCATGCCTTCTACTGAGGATTGCCCCTGCAACCTGGGCATGTGCCCTGACCAGGAATCACACCGTGACCCCCTAGTTCATATGTCTACATTCAACCTGTGAGCCACCCCGTCCAGGCTTCTCTCTCCTTTCAGCCTTGTCTCTCCCCAAGTCCTAGACCAGGATTGGAGCCCCAGCCCCTTCCCACCTGGACCTGAGCAGGCGGGGCCGGTGCCTGGTCCTCTCGCCTGGATGTGTGGGTGATGGCGCTCTGGGCTCCTCTCTCTCCAGGATGGGGGGGATCCCCGCCGTGAATGGCCGAGGGGAGCGTCTGCTGCTGCACATCGGGATCATCGACATCCTGCAGTCCTACAGGTGGGTGCCTGGGCCCCGGTGCACTTGCTCAGGGAAGCTGGGTGCTGTCTGCTTGCAAGGCTCCCTCAGCCTCAGGAAGGCTCCTCAGCCCCAAAGGGAGCATTCGGTCCAACACAGGGATTCCCCAAAATCTAGATTTGTCCCTAGGGACTCTGATGTCGGAGGCAGGTCAAGGCCGATTTTTTTACACACTTCTCTGTTTTAAATATAGCAGGTCCTTGAACAACATCATTTCGTTCAACATGGTTGCATTTATAAACAGTGCTGAGATGCCTGGGAACATAACTCACGTTTGTATCATTTAGCCTGTGGTAAAGTTGATTTTGTACACATTGTTTCCGTTAGTCTCAGGACCTGTAAGTGAGGACTTACTTTGTAAAAATTGGCTCCTGCTCTTCAACTTTCACAGCCCTTGTTGCTTTGTTTGGTTTTCATACCGGAGGGCTGGCCTTGTCTCCTGTAGGCATCTCCCTCAGGTTGGGGCAGGGGCAGGTAGCTGTGGAGTAGCCAGCCAGGATTTCTGCCCAGGCCCGGGGCGGGGGTGGGGTGGGGAGGGGGAAGCTGAGGGAGTGGGCAGCACATGGCAGCAAATAAGTGTGGGTAGTGGTGTCATAAGGAGGGTTTCTTCCCCCCACAAATGAGGGGAGTCCAGGAAGGCTGCATGGGGGAGATGGCATTGTACCCAGCCCTGATGTGTTAGAGGGTCCTGGCTCAGTCTATCCGGGAGGAAAGAGGAAAGGCAGGCTCTGGGAGGCACTAGCTCTCTGTCCACCATGGAGGGCCAACCACCCTGCCTTTCCACTTCCTCCTCCAGATCAGCGGCAGTGGGAGCTGCCGGCAGGCAGGGCAGGGGGCAAGGTGGGGACAGGAAAGTGGGTAGGTGGCCTCTGGCTGAAGCAGCGACAGCTTTACTTCCTTTAACCAGGGCTGCTTCGCCTGCTTGAAGCCAGGAGCACCTGCAGTTGTGATGACCACAAATGTCCCCTAACATTGCCCAGTGTCCTCTGGGGTCAGGATTGTCCTGGTAGAGAAGTCCTGGACCCAAAGATTTGGCTGATGTTCTGGGTGCTTTTTCTCTGCCAGGTTCATCAAGAAGCTGGAACACACCTGGAAGGCACTTGTCCACGATGGGGTGAGCATCATTCATTCACCCACTCACTCATTCATTCCATCTGTCAGTCCACAAGTGCAGTGACCATCTCCCTGGCCAGGCACAGGTGCTAAAGAACTGAGACTCTCCCTCCTTGCTGGAGTAGCTGTACAGCAGAGGTGGCCCTGTGACCAGACAGTCTCAGGGTAAGGGGTCCGGGTCTGAGTCATCCGTGAGGGATACATACAGGAGGGCTTCCTGGAGGAGGAGACCCCCAGCTGACTTGAAAGGCTTCCCCGGACAGCCTGGCTGGGAAAGTCACTGTGCAGTGTGAGGGGGTCTTGGCCCAGGGGCACCTCTCCAGCAGAGCATCTCTGTTGTTTGAGAAAAACCTGCATGGAGTGCAGTGAGGAGGAGTTTATTATGTTTGATTAGCTATTTGTTCTTTGAATAATTATTCACATGGCTCAATGCACTTTTCCCTGAGCGCTGCCAGTGTAGAAACCCTGGCAGTGGATTCATTCTAAACATAATAAACTGAGAACCAACCACTGGGAGCCAAACAGCCCACTTGTGGGACCCCATCAGCCCTGACACCCCTGGTCCAACTCTGGCAACAGCCAGCCCTGGTGGATAACTTTCCTTCTCTGGGCCCCCCTTTTCAGACCAGTTCTTACTAAAGTGTTAAGGGCTATCTGTGTGCCTACAGTCTGTAAAATGCTAAGATCCCAATCTATAATCCTCCACACCCCTCAGAGAGTGTGTGGAGGGTCAAGTGGGAGCTTCCAGAGTATGCATTGAGAAGATCCAGGTGGCCAACTAGCAAGAGGCTCTTTTTAAAACAAAGAAAAAAAGTGTGTTTTTTTGTTTTGTTTTTTTTAATTGATTTCAGAGAAAGGAAGGGAGAGGGAGAGAGGGATAGAAACATCAACGATGAGAGAGAATCCCCAGGGGCATACAGGAGGCAGCCAATCAATGATTCTCTCTCATCATTGATGTTTTTCTATCTCCCTCTCTGAAATCAATAAAAATGTATTTTAAAAACAATAACAAAAAAACACTTTATTTACAAAACAGGTGTTGGACCATGCTCTGACAACCCCTGCTTTAGAAAATCCCTCTGGTTCCTTACTTTTGATATTTATCCATTTACTTTGATTAGCTATTTGTTCTTTGAATAATTATTCACATGGCTCAAAAAATTAAAAATACAGATAGGTTTATAATGGAAAAGCCTTCCACACCTCTTCCTGCCACTCTTACCTGATTCCCTGGGGCCCCTCCAGAAAGCCCCATGCTGCGACCCTATTATCCCCTCCGCAGAGGAGGCCATCCCACCCCGCAGTGGTCTGGGCTGTCCTGCGGGACACAGGCAGCCACAGTGCTCACACCCCTGCTTCCCCTCGGGCCCCCACATCTCTCCCCAGGACACTGTCTCTGTCCACCGGCCCAGCTTCTACGCCGAGCGCTTCTTCAAGTTCATGAGCAACACCGTCTTTCGGAAGAACTCCTGTGAGTTGCCCTGGCCTTCTGAGCAGGAGGGACCGGGGGTGTGGAGAGGCGAGCAGGCAGCACGAGTGCGGTAAACCAGGGGGCCTCGTTCTGCTGCTTGGCCAGCCTCAGGGCTCAGCCAGGGACTTGGTCCCGAGAACAGGGTAGTCAGGCGGCCGCGCCACACAGGTCAGCACAGGGCCTGGCGCCCATGTCCACATTGGCTTCTGGCTCTGCCTCATTCTGCCTGTGTGGACCTCCAGCCAGTAGAGATCACAGCCCTCAGTTTCCCATCAGCCCAGAGCTGTGAGAGCAGCATGTGTTTATACAAGTCCAGCGCCAGCATTCAGCAGGGCTGCCCATAGCCTCGCTCTGTCACTGAGGACATGTGCCTTTGGTGGGCACTGCGATGGTCATCGGCCTAACGGGAAAACTGAGCACCTGGTGTGCTGGGAGCTGCGCTGGCCACCATGGGAGCAAGGAGAGGATGGTGACGGGTGATGACAGAGTGTTACGGGGTTCCCTGCCTCGCATGACCTTGTTGCAGACAAGGATGCTGAGGTCAAGAGAGGCTGAGCTGTTCCTCCAGGCCATACAGCCTGGCTTGGGACCAGGTCCCCAAGGCTTTCCGTTTTCTTGCTTGATGTTGGGCCACAGCTGTGGTGGGCTGGGACCAAAGGGGCGAGGCCCCAAAATGCTCAAATAAACATTGGCAGCTGCTGAGTCAGCTGCTGTTTCTGGAGGGCCCAGAATGGGGTGGTAGTTTCCATTTCTGCTGTGGGCAGAGCCGGTGGAAAGCAGGGCAGGGCTTTCTCCAAGAAGAGCCTTGCTTCTTGGGAATGTCATCCCATTGTCTCCAGGCCCCAGGCTTGAGGAACAGGCTGGAACTGGCACAGTGAGGGCCGGGCGTACAGGTGGTGGCCGCTTGGTGCCCACCACACTTCCATGCAGAGGAGAGACGGAGGGTCCCGGCCTTGTCACCGCCCCAAGCACACCAACCACTCTCCCTCCCCAGCCCTGAAGTCGTCACCATCCAAGAAGGGCCGTGGTGCCTTGTTGGCGGTCAAACCCCTGGGACCCACCGCTGCCTTCTCAGCCAGCCAGATCCCCTGCGAGCGGGAGGATGCGCAGTACGACCTGCGGGGGGCCCGCAGCTACCCCACGCTGGAGGACGAAGGTGACGGGCAGTGGGAGTGGGCACGTTTGTGAAGGAGAAATGAGGCCGCTGCTGGGGAAAGACACCATCCCTAGGGGCTTAGAGTTGGGGTGCAGGGAGCAACAATGGCAATGCCGTGTGAGGAAAGGGACCCCCGAAGCTGGGCTAAGCCCGAATGGGAGGGTCCTCTTCCAATTCAATACCTGCAGCTCCCTAGGCGGGAGGGAATGGCTGGGACAAAGCCAGGAAGACCTGCGGGGAGAACTAAGCGTAGAAAGCACCGCCCTGGGAGGGACAGAGACAAGAAGGAGGAAGTGCTCAGTGGAGTTGGGCCTGATGTTCTGGAGGTCCCTCCAAGCAACAAGGGTCAGAGATTCCAGTCAGGGAGGGGCTGGGGAGTAGCTCAAGGGAGAAACTGCGTGCGCAAAGGTCCTGGGGCAGGACGGTGCCTGGCGTGTTGGAGGAACTATAAGGAGGCCTGTGGTTGCAGCGGAGTGAGCGAGAGGGGGAGGTGACGAGGGCAGGGAGGGCAGGACTGCAGGGAGGCAGTTTGGATTTCAGTTTGAGAGCAGCAGGAAGGTACTGGAATCCTTGTGCTGGGAAAACTGGAGTGACCCGTGGGAGCTGCAGTAGAGGCGAGTCCCTGCAGCAGGTCCTGGGAGTCTGGCTCCCACAGGAACCCACCGCCTCCTCCACAGGCCGGCCTGACCTCCTGCCCTGCACGCCGCCTTCCTTTGAGGAGGCCACCACCGCTTCCATCGCCACAACCCTGTCCTCCACGTCCCTGTCCATCCCAGAGCGGTCCCCCTCAGAGACCTCAGAGCAGCCGAGGTACAGGTGAGCAGGAGGAGGGGTGGCCTGCACTCCTAAGAGGAGGGGCCAGCACAGGGCCTGGTCGGGTGGGGCAGTGGGGAGGCCTCCCTGTCCGTGCCATCTGTTCCACCTGTCTGTGTTCTCTCGGAAGGCGGCGCACACAGTCCTCCGGACCGGACAGCCGGTAAGACGAGACCCTAGCCCCTCCCTTCCCGTCTCCTCTCTAGGCTCCACAGTCTGCCCAGCTCCTCCTGCAGAACCCCTTTGTCCCCCTTTCCGCCCTCCCCTGCCCTTCTGCAAGCTCACCCCTCCACATTTCCTCCCAGAGCCCCTCTGTCCTGGGAACAGGTGTATTTTAACCATCCATCTTCAGGTTCTAGAGCCACACAGAACCTCGTCACTTGGTATTTCACCCCCACCTGGTGCCCCCCTCCCCTGTACCTGTTAATTCTTTCTTTTCATTCTAAGAGGTATAAAAGCGCTCACAGTGAGATGCCTGCCTCTGCTCTGTGCCCAGCCCCTTCCCTGGGAGCACCAGCCTAGATATTCTTTCCTCTCTCGAGATATTTTATGAATATACAAGCAAACATACCCTCAGGCCTGCTTCTCCCTTTTGCTTTGACAAAAGCTGTGGCTCTGTGCCCCTGTTCCTTGCTTTGTCACTTTCCAGATGAAGGTTGTGCTATGAGCCTTTGCTGGTTCTCTTCCTTCTCTTTTTTTAAAGATACGAATTTTTAGCGGGGGAGGGGGGCGTGAGGAAGAGGGGATAGAGAGATAGAAGAAACATTGACGAGAGAGAAACATTATCAATCAGCTGCCCCCCCACATACCCCCTAACTAGGGATCAAGCCCACAACCCAGGCATGTGTCCTTATTGGGAATTTAACCTCAAGGTTTCTAGGTCAATGCTCAACCACTGAACCACACTGGCCAGGCAGTTCTCTTCCTTCTAACAGATTGTTCCTGCTCTTGGAGAATACTTGGGTAGTTCCCAGTTGTTTGATCTTGTCATACAACTGGAGTGAATAGGGTTGCTCTCCAGAATTAGCTTTTGAGAAGATAATTCTTGACAGTTGAAAAGAAAGTCATGGTACACAGCACATTTAGTGAAAAGTACATCTCCCTCTGTCCAGCTGCCTGCTGCCTGCCCAAAGGCTCTGATCAGTCTACACTAGGGGCCTCAGCCTCTGGGCCCCCAAACCACCCCACCCCTAGTTCAGCCCTAGGCGGGTTCCAAGCCACCCCAGGTATGGGTGCAGCATTCATGTCGCGGGTCATTCATGTGCCCCTGTGGTGCCAGAGTCCCAGGACAACCCCAAGTGGATGGTCATTTGCTGTCCCCTCCAATAGGGCTAGGCCTCAGCTAGACCTGCTTAAGGCGCCGGTGGGTTGACATGTAGAGATAGCACCTCAGACCTCATGGGACTGAAATCAGCTCCTGTTCAGAGCTCAGCTGGAGCACCTGGGAGTGGAGGTGGTGAGGAGGGATATTGAGCCATCCATTGCCTCCAGGCCCCAGGAGGAGGCAGGCGCAGAGGAGGACCTGCAGCAGATCACGGTGCAGGTGGAGCCCGCGTGCAATGTGGAGATAGTGGTCCCTAAGGAAGAGGAAGAGGGGTGAGTAACCATCCGGTCCATGTGGCCCAATGCTCTCCTGTTGCTTGGTTTCTGTACTCAACTTTTGCCCCAGTCTCATTGGCTGAGCATGGTCACATGGCCAGCTGGCAGCAAGGCAGGCTGGGAAATTTAGTCCACATTCTGGGGAGCAGAGGCATGGGAATGGGGCTTCAGGAACTGAGGTGCTGAGGAGCACAGTTTCACTCACAGAGCTGCATGTAATGTGTCAGTCCAGGGATTATACCTCGGTGGTGTCTGCGATTTTTTCTCCTCCCTTCCCTCACTCTTAGTCTTGCCTGCACTTGTGAGAGGATGACTGGCCAGTTTCTTCAAAGGACCACTTTTGGTCTTAGTCACCCTTCCTCCTCTCATATTTTGGTCTTGTTTTATGCACTTTAACTCAGTCATTTCTTTCGTCTAACTTCGGATTTGTTTTCTCACTTGTTTCTTTTTCTTCATTATAGGTTGAGTGCTTAAGTTCCTTTGTTTTTCTTTAGTAAGAGGCTCTTAAGGCTATGCATTTTCCTCTGAGTGTTGCTTTTACTGTCCCAATAGTTTTGACATGAAGCAATTCCTTTTTATGTTTGCTCATGTATAGATAGTTAATGATTTTTCTCTTAAGGTCCTTTTAGACCTAAGGCAGTGAGCTTACCTGGGGGTGGTCCTGCCCACTGATGACACTGGGCAATGTATGGGGACATCTGTGGTTGTCAAATGGGGGTGCTCCTGGCATTGAGTGGGTGGGGGCCAGGGATGCTACCCAGTATCCCACAGTGCTCATGACAGCCCCCCACAGAGAGTGACCCAGCCCTGATATCAGCAGTGCTCAAGGAGAGAGACCATGGACTGAGGTTTATTTAGGAATGTGTCTGCACTCCTGGGTACATAAGGATTTTTTTTTTTTTTTTTTGTCCTTTTAGTACTTAACTCTAATTTTACTTTTGAGTTGAAAAGAGGCCTTAAAAACCTATGCTATTTTTTTAAAACAGATTAAAGTCTTTATGTCAAGTACACCATTAGTTTTTTTGTTTGTTTGTTTGTTTTTTAATATCCATGGACATATGGGAGAAATGTGTATTTTCTGCCGGGGAATGGAAAGTCCTCTGTTCTGTCAGTGTATTAATTGTTGTCATTCAGTTTCTTTATGTCTTAACTTATTTCTCATCTGTTTGGTCTAGTTAATTCTATAACTTAGAATTTCTGTTCTATTTTTATTTTATTTTTTTTGCTGTTCTATTTTAAGAGGCCTTAGCATTTACACCACATTCCCAGGATTCTCTTTGCCCTTAAGAGTTTACTTTACACACACACGTGCACACATGCACCTCCAGTCTCTGCCACTGGGCGTTTTCGCTAAAGCCTTGCAGTGTAACATATGACTCAGTCTTTGCCCAGAAAAGCAACCTGACCTGAAACATGTCTGAAGAACAACTTAGGGATATTCTTGTCACTTAGAGCTTGTCATGTATTCATGAGATGAATATTACGTAGCAATCACATAGCCTTCCGCCGAGGCCTGGGCCTGATTCTCACCATCTCTCTCAGTGTCAATCTCCTCACCTGTGACACGGAACAGCAGCAAACCCTTCCCAAGGGAGACGCAGTGGATTCGCTCACACAAGGCTCTTAAGCAGGCTTGTGTATCATAAGTGCTCAGACTGCACGTCCCCACTTTACAGATGAGGAACTGAGGCTCAGAGAAGGAAACGGAGGCTTTACATTCACCCAGCTCTCTGTAGAGGGTCCAGGGGGAATAAGTGGCAAGGTCAGGACAGTTCGTGTGCCTGTGTGGAGGGGAGAGGTCCAGGTAGACCAGTTATTACCTGGGTCATGACAAAACTGGGTGGTGGTCAGTCTTATTTGGCTTCCTAGGACTTGTCTGCTTGGTGACACACTGATGGAGGAGGGGCAGGAGGGTGAGGGGAGTGGGCTAGGAAAGGATGGTACCGCTGAGAGTCTGGCCTTCCCTGTCCCCAGGGTGGAGGCTTCCCCGGCCTGTACCTCTGCCATCGTGGTGGAAGCCGAAACCGCCAGCCAGGCCTCAGAGCCCGCCAGCCAGGCCTCGGATGAGGAGGACACGCCCGCCACCGACATCTACTTTGTAAGTCCTCCGGGCGCGCTCATCACAGGGCCCTCGACCCACATGTGCTCATGCATGCACATTCGTGACAGGCCCGCACACATGGACACACATTGCACACACTATCATACCTGTATACACATGCCTATACACATGCACATCTGTACACATGTTCACAAGAACACACTCCAGCATTTGTACACTTCACACTGACAGATGGACACACTCACATTTGAGAGGCACACATTTGAAAGGCACACACACACCTGCACACGCTCTTGCACACCACACTTACCTTGCTCTTAACATGCTCACGGCACTCACGTGGTATTCTCTTGAACACATGCACACTCACGTGGTGTGTGAGCGGCCCGCCTCATACCCAGGCCAGGCCATCCCAAGGCTAGGAAACTTCCTGGGCCTTGCTCCCCAGAAAGGAGAGCCTGGCAAGAACAAGGCCCCAGCTGTGCCACCCCGACCCCTGGGAATCACCCTAGTCCTCACGCTCTCAGCCCCAACGGGCCCTGGTCCTTGGTCTGTGCTGGAAATGCTGTGGATCTTCTCCTCCTGGTGATGGGCGTGGCTGGGTGGCTCTGTCCTTAAGGGGGCGAGGGAAATGTGGAAGGGGCAGGTGGGCCTCCACTGTTCCTCAACAAGGCGGGGTTCGTCAGAGCAGGAAGGGGCCTTGCCCTGGAGACTGGAGCCTCCCTCCCAAATCTGGGGTCACCTCCCCCTTGCATCTCCTGTAGGCAGACAGATTAGATGAGCCAGGAACGTGGGTGAGGTAGGTACTGGGTGGCCACGAGCCTGCAAAGTCTAGTCCACTGGCCCTCGATGGTGGGTCAGGGGTCAGATGGCCCCAGGTGCAACAGAGAGTGCCAGATGCTGCAGCCCAGCTGCCTGACCTCTTCCCAAACCTCCATTTTCATCTCTGCCCCCAAGAGAAGGTGAGCTGCGGGCGCCTGGCCTCAAACTCCAGGCCTGGGTGGGCCTGGCCCTCTGCTGCTATCGCTGCTTCTTAACTACCACCACCCTGCTGTCCTGAGCTAGTGCTGCTGGGTCACAGGGTCCTGCCAGGAACTGCAGGGGGCACACTGTATGCATGTCCCTACAAGCCATCCTTTTCCCATCCCTGAGGGCTTGACTTGTGTCCTGTTCTCTCGAATCCTGTGTGAGGCAGTTGGGCTGTGTCCTGTGAATGGGTGGCTGGGCCACAAGGGGCAGCAGAGAAGGTAGAAGCCACAGTGTGACCCTGACACCCCCGAACTCTCCTACTGCTTTGCCACTGACTCACCTGCCCCGCCTAGCACCCGCCCCACCTGACCTTCCTGACCTCAGCTGGATTCTGCATTCCTGTCCCCTCATCCTGTCCTCTCTTTGCCTCCTCTGCCCTCCTGGCCCACCCAGTTCACGGATGGGAGGTACTGGATTTACTCTCCCCGGCATCGCCGACTGCGGGCCATGACGCTGAGCTCCTCGGGGACTGTAAGTGACCACAGCAGGCCTCCAGGAAGCCCAGCCCCTGCCCCGTTGCCCGGGGCAGCCAGGAGCCTCAGGGCCTGGCCGTCCCTCTTCCTCCGAGAAGGGACTTGGGGAAAATAATAATGACAACTTTGCAGGGTCACTGCTGTGTGTGTCCTGCAGGAATGTCACTTAATCTCCTGTGAAGTTAGCATCAGTGGCCAACAGGTACATGGCTGGTGCTCAGCGGGCCTTGCCATGGTGGAATCTACATTTTTTAAAATAAATCTTTATTATTTATATTATTACAAATGTTCCTCATTTTTCCCCCTCCATTGCTCCCTTCCACCAGGTTCCCACCCCACCCTCTGCCCTTTCCCCACCCCCCATTGTCCTCATCCATAGGTGCACAGTTTATGTTCAGTCTCTTCCCGCACCCCCCACTCCCCTATTCCCTGAGAATCGTCAGTCCACTTCCCTTCCATACCTCTGATTCTATTATATTCACCAGTTAATATTGTTCATCAAATTTTTAATTCCCTTGGTTTTTAGATTCACTTGTTGATAGTTACATATTTGTTGTTCATAATTTTTATCTTTATTTTCTTCCTCTTCCTATAGAAACCCCTTCAGCAATTCATATAATTCTGGTTTGGTGGTGATGAACTCCTTTAGCTTTTTTTTTTTTTTTTTTTTTTTTTTTAAATTTTATTTGTGATGCTCTTTAACTGGCCTCCGATTCTCAGTGATAGCTTTCTGGGTAGAGGAATTTTGGCTGTAGGTTCTTGTTATTCATCACCTTGAATATTTTTTGCTATTCCCATCTGGCCTGCATGGTTTCTGTTGAGAAATCAGCTGACAATCATATAAGTGCTCCTTTATAGGTAACTACCTGCTTTGCTCTTGCTGCTTTTAATATTCTCTCTTTGTCTTTTGCTCTTGGAATTTTAATTATGATATGTCTTGGTTTGGTCCTCTTTGGATTCCTTTTGTTTGGGGTTCTGTGTGCTTCCTGGACTTGTAAGTCTATTTCTTTCACCAGGTGGGGGAAGTTTTCTGTCACTATTTCTTCCAATATGTTTTTGGTATCTTGCTCTCTCTCTTCTCTGGGACCCCCATAATTCTGATGTCGGTTCGCTTGAAGTTGTCCCAGAGGTTTCTTACACTATCTTCAACTTTCTGGATTCTCTTGTCTTCTTGCTTCTGCGGAGGAGTGTCCTCTGGCTCTTTGTGTTCCAAATCTTTGACTTAATTCTTTTGATCTTCCATTCTGTTTTTAGGACTCTGTATAATATTTTTTATTTCAGACCGTGTATTCTTTATTTCTAGTTGATCCCTTTTCGTATCCTCATAGGTCTCATTTATTTTATCGGCCTTTTCTAGGAAATTCTTGAAAAACCTTATAACTGTGGTTTTGAACTCTGTATCCAGTCGCTTGTTGTACTCCATTTCTTTCATTTGTGATCTGTTTTCTTGTCTCAGCATTTTCGCTGTTTCCCTGAGTTGGTAGGGTGGTTTTGTGTGCTAAGATGTCCTATATGGTTCAGTGGGTCAGCCTCCCAGTTACCTGAGGTGGACACTCTTGGTGCCCCCCTTTGTGGACTGTGTGTACAGCCTTGTTGTAGTTAAGTCTTGATTGTTGTTGCTGTCATTGGGAGGAACTGACCTCCACGCCAATTTGCTATGAGGATCAGCTATGTCTATGCCAGGAGACAGCCTTATTCGACTAGACTTGCAAAATTGCAAAAGCCTCTGTACTCAGCTTGGATGGGGAGGAGTTTCAGGATGGAGCTTACAGCCTTGGCTTCCTCCCAGCCCCGCCCTATGAGGTTCCTGAGTCTCAGTGTTCCTCAGTGTCCTTCAGTACTCGCTGCAAACACCTCTGAGAGCAAGATGCCCTCGAGTTTCGCCTGCTACCAGACAGTCTAGTCTCACCCCCAGTGAGCCCAGAACTGGGGTTCAATGCAATTAGAAGTGGGATTCAGTGCAGTCCGGAGCTTTTGTCTCCTTCCCGCTAGGACAATCAACAGTCTGTCCTCTACGCGCATTCACCTGCATGCCTCCAGAGCTCTGCCTTTCGCCACTCGCCTGAGTTTTCGCTTTACAGCCCAGATTCCCTCCGTATGAGCCTGGGTCCCCAGGGTCTGGCCTAGAACTGGGGCTCAGTGCAGTCGGAACTGGGGCTCAGCACAGTCCGGAGCTTTTGTCTCCTTCTCGCTAGGGCATTCCAGCAGCACAGTCAACAGTCTGTCCTCTGCACTCATTCACGTGCGCACCTCCAGAGCTCTGCCTTTTGCCGCTCGCCCGAGTTCCCACCTTACAGCCCAGATTCCCTCTGTATGAGCCTGGGTCCCCAGGGTCTCTCCCAGAATTGGGGTTCAGTGTAGTCGGGACTGGGGTTCAGAGCAGTCAGAACTGGGGTTCAGCACAGTCCAGAGCTTTTATCTCCTTCCTGGTAGGGAACGCCAGCCAGTCACACAGCCACCCCCTCCTCTCCGGCTCCATCCTCTTCCCACGCGCGCACCGTGTCTCTGTACCTTAGGCTTTTACAGCTCCTCTGATTTTCCTTCTGGTTTTCTCTTTCCTTCTAGTTGTAGAATTTCCAGTCAGTCAACTTTCCTATAGTTCTGGATAATGTCCATTTTGTATTTTAGTTGTATTTTTGAAATTGTTCTGCCAGGCTGCAGTTAGGCATTTACCTATGCCGCCATCTTGGTTTCTCTCTCGGAATTTACATTTGAACCCCAGCCCCAGGCCACCTCTTCCCAACCCTTCTAAGCGAGGGACAAATCAAGCGGACACTTCTCTGCTGATGGCTCCCCAAGGAGCATCTGCCCTTCTGATGGGAACGGTCAATGGGTCAGTGAGGACTGCGAAGCTGGGCTCTTAGCTGCAGGAGAGAGGAGTTAGTATCTTCATATCCACTTCACAGATGGAATAACTGAGGCCTCTGCTCCTCAGGGACGAGAGCACACAGTTTAGACAAATTCTGAGTCCAGCCTCTGTGTAGTTGACACTCATCCACCCAGTGAGACGCTATGTAGATGTCATGCAGCAATGGCCTTATCCGTCCTATTATTATCATTATAAACAATTAATGAAGGGTCCAGAGAGGCCAAGTAACCTGCCCAGAGCCGCACAGTGTGAACAGGTGGAACAGGGTAAAGAACTGGAGAGTTTCTGTTCTCAAGAGGAGGCTCACATCACGGCCCCAACAGCAACCCCCCTGCTTGCCACTGGGTATCAAGACTACTTCGCCAGTGCCTCCGGCCACACTGTCTTCCCATGACCCATCAGCTGGGGACGCACAGCACCCCCCAAGGGATCTCTGGGGGGAGCAGTTTGCAAAGGGGCCTGGAGGGGGTTGACCTGGACTTTAAAAAACACAGGTGGGGTGGAAAGGAAGCAGAAGAAGAGTGTCTGCAGGGGGCGCAATGGAAACCGAAGTGTGGAGGCTGGATGGGAGGACAGGAAGTCTGGATGAGAGGCAGGAAGGGCCCTTAGGCCTGCAGGAAAGAGTGACCCCTTGGCCTAACTCTGGTGGGGTCATCCGCAGTTTCTGGGTCCCTCCCTCCCCCACACCCATCTTTCTATAGAGAGTCCAGGGGACCCTCTTTTCTCATGTTTTGAGTCCCAGCAGGGCAGCTAGGTCGGTGTCAATCCCTCCTGCAGCTGCCCTGTGCTGGGCACTGGATACAAGCAGCCCCCAGTCAGCCTGGCCCTGCCTTCAGGGTCCCAGGTGGGCAGGGGAGGCGGAGCGAGCTGCTGCCGATGAGCAGGGTTTTGTATTGTGCCATCACCGTGTGAAGGAGTGAGTGGGGTCTACAGTAGTGTCTTGTCCCGCTGCCCCATGTGCCTTTGTGCCAGTCCACAGATGGGCACAGGGGTCTGGCCTGTGAGAGCGGCAGGAGAGGTGTTGAGCAGACACAGAGGTTGGGGGAAGCAGCAGGTGGGCTCTGAGGGGCAGTGAGTGCAGGAGAGGTGGGTCCGGGGCTTGTTGGTTGTGGCTGTGGTAGGTTTAGGGCCTGGGGACAGCCATGTGGACATGGCCAGGGCAGGTGTGTTCAAGCCTGGTGGAAGAAAGAAGACAGCTGAGGAGGCCTCCAGGGCCCAGGGAAATTTTTGAGATGGAAGCAAACCTGGCAGGGAAGCACACCTGCCCCCAGTCTGATGACAAAATGGGGAACCCCTTCCCCAGACACAGCTGGAAGAGCACTAGGCCACCTACCACCTTGCACCTTTAAGCACCCCCAGAGCTTGCATGGCAGGCAGGATCTGGGCTTGGGCGCTGCTGGGCTAGTGTCACGGGTGGGCAGAGGAGGAGGAGGAGAGGACAGCACAGCAACAAGCTCCTGCCACCCTTCCTCCCCGCCCTGCCGGCACGCCCCTACTGCACTCACCGCTTCCTGCCGCCCTCCCTGCCTGCTCAGGCCACTCAGCCCCGGTCCTGCCCATCTCGAGGCCCATCCAGGTTGGGGGCAGGTCCCCATCAGGGCGAGGGCAGCCGGGGGCCGAGCTGCCCACTTGTCCTGCCTTGGGGGTCCGCCTCTTTTATTTCTGTTTCTTCCTTCCTCCCTCTCACCTCTCTGGTGCCTCCTCACACCCTGCTCTTCTTCTGCGCCCTTCCTGCACGTGCCGCCTGCCCGCCCTCCAGCCCACCGATGAGAGGAGCTGGGTGTACTCCCCGCTCCACTATAGCGCACAGGTCCACTCAGCCTCCGACGGCGAGAGCGACACAGTAAGTGTGCCCATGGCCCGCCAGCCTGGCCTGCTTGGGGCTGAGAGCACCCCAAGGACAGAGGGGAAATAAGTCTGGGGCGGGAGGGGTAGGCCTGGGCTCTTACTGTGTGGTAGCCCGTGGGTAAGTACTGTGGGGTCTGTGTCCAGCCCTCACGGCATGTGGAGTCCCCGGCCTGAGGCAGTGGTGGGGCCAGGCCACATCATGGGAGGCCCAGCGGGTGGGGGGTCCAGCCATGGCGCATCTCGCCCTCACCTGCCTCTCTTGCCTCCTGCAGTAATTCCTACGAACCACCAACCCATAGGAGTGGAGCATACACCTGGCCAGCCCAGCTCGGCCCAGAGCACAGGAGGTGCCCACCTGGCTGCCGCTGGATCTCGCTCGCCCGCCTCCTCCCCTTGGCGATGGTCACTGATGCTCCGGGCTGCAAAGCAATGCCCCGGTTCCGTCAGCTACCTGCGCCTGTGATACTGTGAACCTTCCGGAGTTTCCAATCATGTATTTATTTTGGGTCCTTACTCTTTGCACAGAGACGGCGGCACACGGCTGCTTTTTTTACAAAAAACAACAGCAACAAAAAACCCACAAAAAACACACACACACCACGGGAAAAGAAGACACTTCGTTCTATGCACTTTTTGGTTCTTTGCTATGCTTGCATGTGTCTTGCTGAGAGAACAAGGCTCATTGGCTTTGAGGACCTGTGTCCCATGGTCCAGCCGTTCCAGGTGAAAATCCTGCTCTGAGTTTCCGCAGGCGCCGCCCTGCTCCACCTCAGGGAAGTGGACGTCTCTCCTCCACGTGGACAGCTTAGTGTCTGGACGATAGGGCCCACGTGATGGGAGACACCTTTTCCAAGAAGGATTTCCAAAACGTCCGACTCAGAGGAGGCAGCTGGGCCCTTAGCCACGGGACTTCCAGAGAGCTGGAGCAGGCCCTCCCCGTGGGCAGGCACAAGGCCTGGAGGGACAGACTCTGCAGCAGGAGGCCCCCCATGATGGGTGGGCAGCCTCTCTTTCATTTTCAATTGATGAAGACTCCTGTGCAGATTAAAGGAAAAAGTTCTTTAATGAGAAACAGTATTTTTTCTGTCATCTTCAACAGGGGCAGCCATTCCTGGGCCCCGAGCCCCACTGGGTGATGCCAGGATACCCTGAGGGGGCTGCTGTAGCCAACAGCTTTGCAGAGTCTCTCACACCCCCACCTACACACACTCGCGCCTCCTGAGAGGAAATGTCAGTAATGGCTGCCCCTTGCCCACTCCATGGACCCCCACCAGCTCAGGCCCACGTGGGAACAGCTGGGCTAGAAGCCACATCTTTTGGAAGAATTCTGCCCCAGCCCCTGCTTCCCTGGGGAGCCTGAGACAGCCAGATAACTCGCTGATCTAGGAATCTGACTTTTTGAGTCCTTTGCAAGCTGCATATACCGTTGCTGGTTCTTGCTATGCAGGTCCCTCCTCATCCCACCTCAACAGCCTGCTGGAGGGAACCTGCTGGTCTGGCTGCTGTCCCCTCCTCCCTGGAGAACCAGGCTGCACCCCGAAGGCTCTCCTCTTGCTGTGTGTGCAGGGGCAGCACCTCAACTCGGAGCAGAGCTTTGGGAGACACTCCATGCAGCCTGGAGAAGGGGGGCCTCAGAGAACCCCCAGAATAAGCTTGCAGGTACCTTGAACAAGAAGCAGGACAGCATTCTCTCCCTACTTCCCAAGGAGCACTTGTCCAGAGCCTGGGGAACATCCTCACCTGGACTTCAGACCAGTGCTGTCTGCAGACACCCTGGCCACAAGGCACCAGTCTGCTCCAGACCAGTCCCACCAAGAAGGCAGGCAGACTCCTGAAGGCGCATCTCAGACCTGGAGGACTAACGGGGACAGCTGCGTCACCCAAACACCAACGTGAGGGTCACCGCCCAGGGCCCAGAGGCTGGGCACAGACATCTGAGCCCCGGCGGGGATGACGGGAGCAGCACAGCCCTGGGAGAGTGGGCCCTGCGTCCACGCCATCCTCGGTCAGTATGGAAACGAGCAAGGGAGTTGCCTGTGTGGCCCATCAGGCCCAGTCCCTGCTGGGCCCCTTGGGCTCTCCTGAGGGAATCACGGAACAAATGCAGTGGTTGGATGCTGACTTTTAGGAGAAATTTGCAAACCTCCTGGATGTGGCGTTTCTGTTTCCATGTTAAGTCAGAAAGGCCCCTCGGAGACCCATTTTGTGTTGTATTCTTTGTCCCAGGACTGTGCTGATGGGAGGCATTTGTCCATTCTTTTCTGGGCGGGGGGGCGGGGTTGGTGGCAAGAGACAAGACCTTATTTATAACTGTAGTGGACCCATGGACATTTAAAAAAAATAAAGTGGGTTGAATGGAAGGCCTGGATCAGCCCACCTCGCTGTCAACCACCGGCCCCCCCAAGGATGGAAATCTGTAAAAGGCCCCACTTCTCTCCTGACTCATCTCTGATAGCCGCTGTCGCAAGAACCTGGGCAGCGTCTGACTTGCTGTACTGTAAAAACGAAAGGCATTTCTTGAGGCTGACAAGGTAGAACCTTCTGTGTGTCCCCCTGCCAGCCTCTCAAACCCCCACCCCCTCCACCACCTGGCTTAGTGCAATACTCCCATCCCTGATGGGGTCTCTTGCCATGGTACTGTCACCACAGCCCACGGTCCCCATCCCAACCTTGTTTTTATGGCTGAACTGATTTCAAAACACAACGAAACTGCAAACCTTGTGTGTCTTAATTCGCACCGGGGCTTCCGCGTGCTCAGCCCCTGGTCTAGTATGTGACAATCCGGAGCGCAGCCTCCTGGGCGCCTCCGTATCCTTACAGCCACTGCTGGCCCTGATAACACTCATATGCAGCCCCGGCCCCTCCCTGCCCCCCCTCCCTCTTTTTATGTTGAAGAGATCTCTAATAAATCGGGTAATATGCATCTGTTGCTTTTGCCTCTCTATGCGTTCCTGTGGTCTAGGAGTTTGAGGACCCACTTTGAACAAAACAAACCCTCAGGAGATTTAAAATAACAAGACCCAAATGTTTTATTTTATTGACCTCTTTGAGAGAGAAACATCAGTGTGTTGTTCCGTTTATTTATGCATTCATTGGTTGATTCTGTGCCCTTACTGGGGGGATCAAACCCACAACCTTGGCATATTAAAATGACTCTCCAACCAACTGAACTACCCAGTCAGGGCCAGGACCCAAATGTCTTAATTGCCTTAATAGCTGTGGCCTCCTGGGTTTCAGTTCACCTTGAAAAACTTAAAAGCTTCTGACATCACCCTCGCCGGTAAGGCATGTACCTTGGTTGCAGGCTCCATCCCTGACCCTGTACAGGAGGCAACCAATCGATGTGGCTCTCTCACATGTATGTCACATCTCCCCCTCCCTTCCACTCTGTCTAAAAATAAATGGGGAAAATGTCCTTGGGTGAGGTTTAACAAAAAATAAAAGCTTCTGATATCATTGCAGCACAGCTCAAAGGAACAAACACTCCCCAGAATGGCTCATGCTGAGCAATGCATGGACCCCATTTAAAGGGAAAGTATTTCCACCAGACGCCCGGTTTAGAAGCACTGTGTTGAAAAGTCAGACCTGTCTGTAAGTGAGCCCTTGGAAACCCAGTTATAATCAGAGATGCAGATGCAGAATGGCTCAGCTCACATATAAACTAGACACATACATAATCTAGAAGGTACTTTCCTTACATTCACATATTAAAATGCAAATACTCTCACAGATGCATCTGCATTTTGAAGATCTCAGGGCCAGGCCTCGCTGGTACAACCCATATCCCATGACAAGCAGGTTTGTCATCGGGGTGGCCAGAGATGGCCTGTTATTTCTTTTGGAAGACTTTTTTTTTTGGCATCTATTTACAATATAAGTACTAATTTGTTTTCTTTAACAATTTGCATGAAGTTATCTAGCATGGGACAGCAGTTTCTTGTAAAGCCTCTATAGTACTGACCAAGGAAAAACAAAACTATTTCGAGGATAAGGGATTCTTCAGAAGACCACCCCACCTGGCATCTTGGTTCCAAGCACAAGTAGAGCATACAACGCCAGCATTTAGGGTGGTGTTATGAAGCTATATTTTAAGGCAAAGATTTAAAGAATTAGTTTAAAATGTTAAGTACTATCCTCAGGTGGGCTGGGAGAGCTCAGAGCAGGTCTTTGAGGTCCTCCAGATCTCCAAGCCTCCTGTCCTATCCCCTGACTCATCCTACCCTCCAGCCCTAGGGACAACCCTTAACAGCTAGTCCCACATTTATCCCTCCCATGGATCTCCAGCACCCACAGAACAAAGCTAGACCACCCAGTTCAAATTGCAGCTACCTCTTGGGATTAAGGGAGAGGTGTTAAAGTGACTTTCCCCTCTCTGAGCCTCAGTTTCCCCCATCTATAAAGAGGGTTGAACCGAAACCGGTTTGGCTCAATGAATAGAGCGTCGGCTTGGGGACTGAAGGGTCCCGGATTCGATTCCGGTCAAGGGCATATACCTTGGTTGCAGGCATATCCCCAGTAGGGGGTGTGCAAGAGGCAGCTGATCGATGACTCTCTCATTGATGTTTCTAGCTCTCTATCACTCTCCCTTCCTCTCTGTAAAAAATCAATTTAAAAAATACATTAAAAAAAAAATTGGAGGATCCAAGATGGCTGCTCGGGTAGACATCTAGCCGAGGCAGCACACAACAATTTCAATGGAATACAACTAAAATGTAGAGTGGACATTGCCCAGAGCTACAGGTAGTCGACTGACTGAAATTTCTACAACAAGAAGGAAAGAGAAAACCAGAAAGAAAATCAGAGGAGCTGAAAAAAAGCCTAAGGTACGGAGACATGCTGTGCGCGGTGCCTGCCCGCACGCGCGCACGGAGAGGTCGCAGCCGGAGAGGAGGAGAGGGCGGGGAGCCGCCTTTCCTTCCCTAGCAGGAAGGAAATAAAACCCCCAGCCTGGGCTGAACCCCCGAACCGGCAGCGCTGAGCCCCAGTTATGGGCCAGACCCTGGGGACCCAGGCTCCGGCAGGAGGAGACAGGGCCGTGAGGCGGAAAAATGGCGAAAGGCAGGGCCCCGGGAGTCACGCGCAATGCGCGCAGAGGACTGAATGTTGACTCTGATGCTGGGTTGCCCTAGCCGGAAGAAACAAGGCCTCTGGCGGTGCTGAGCCTCAGTCCGGACTGCTCCGAACCCCAGTTCTGGGCCAATCCCTGGGGACCCAGGCTCAGGCAGAGGGAGACGGGGCTGTGAGGTGGAGTCCAGGAAGAGCGGCGAAAGGCCGGGCCCCCGGGACTCGCGCAAACTGCGCGCAGAGGACAGTCTGTGGGACTCGCACAAACTGCGCGCAGAGGACAGTCTGTTGACTCTGATGCTGGACTTCCCTAGCGGGAAGGAGAAAAAAAAAAGCTCTAGGCTGGGGGAACGCGGAGGGGAGCGGAAGCCCCTGCCGGACTCCAGCCAACTGGGCACCAGCAAAGAGGCGGGCCACGAGGCCCCTGGGGGCGTGGGTGCCCCTGAGCCTTTGACCACTGAGCTCGGGCAATGGAGCCAAGGCCGGGGGCTGCTTCCTGGGCGGCGCCGTCCCGGCAACAGGCTGAAGCAGCACAGGAGCCCGCGAAGAACAAAGGGGTGCCACAGGCCAACCTGCTGAGCTCCCAGGACAAGGAGGAAGAAACCAAAGAAGTTCTCAATGTGAAGAAATCAAGTGAGAGCAAAAGATAGTAAAATTACTTAAGAAAGAATACAAAGAAGATCTTGAAAAATCAAAGACTAAGTCAGAACTCAACTCAACAGCCAACATTGCAACATAAATGCGTTTTAAAAAGAAAAAAAAAGGACAGAATGCTGGAACAGCGACGGCCAGGCCTAAAGTGGCCAGGCACAAGGCAGTGGCAGCCAGACCCGGAGCAGCAACGGCCAGGCCCCAGAACAACAGCAGCCAGAACCAGAGCATCAACAGCGAGCACTGGAGTAGCCAGACCTGGGGCAGTGGCAGCCAGGCATGAGGCGGAGGCGGCCAAGCCCAGGGTGGCCAGTCCAGGAACACCCAGACCCGGAGTGGCCGGGCCCGAAGAAGCCGGGCCCAGAGCAGCCGGGGTGGGAGCAGCCAGACCCAGAACAGCAGTAGCCAAGCCCAGAGCATCCAGGTCGGGAGTGGCCAGGCTCGGAGCGGCCGGGCCCGGGGCAGCCGGGCCCAGAGCAGCCGGGTCAGGTGCGGCCAGGCCCGGAGCAGCAGCTGCCAGGCTGGGAGCGGCCAGGCCCGGGGGAGCAGTCGGGTCGGGTGCGGCCAGGCCCGGAGCAGCGGCTGCCAGGCTGGGAGCGGCCAGGCCCGGGGGAGCAGGCGGGTCGGGTGCGGCCAGGCCCGGAGCAGCGGCTGCCAGGCTGGGAGCGGCCAGGCCCGGGGGAGCAGGCGGGGCTGGTGCGGCCAGGCCCGGAGCAGCGGCTGCCAGGCTGGGAGCGGCCAGGCCCGGGGGAGCAGGCGGGTCGGGTGCGGCCAGGCCCGGAGCAGCGGCTGCCAGGCTGGGAGCGGCCAGGCCCGGGGGAGCAGGCGGGTCGGGTGCGGCCAGGCCCGGAGCAGCGGCTGCCAGGCTGGGAGCGGCCAGGCCCGGGGGAGCAGGCGGGGCGGGTGCGGCCAGGCCCGGAGCAGCGGCTGCCAGGCTGGGAGCGGCCAGGCCCGGGGGAGCAGGCGGGGCGGGTGCGGCCAGGCCCGGAGCAGCGGCTGCCAGGCTGGGAGCGGCCAGGCCCGGGGGAGCAGGCGGGGCTGGTGCGGCCAGGCCCGGAGCAGCGGCTGCCAGGCTGGGAGCGGCCAGGCCCGGGGGAGCAGGCGGGGCTGGTGCGGCCAGGCCCGGAGCAGCGGCTGCCAGGCTGGGAGCGGCCAGGCCCGGGGGAGCAGCCGGGTCGGGTGCGGCCAGGCCCGGAGCAGCGGCTGCCAGGCTGGGAGCGGCCAGGCCCGGGGGAGCAGGCGGGGCTGGTGCGGCCAGGCCCGGAGCAGCGGCTGCCAGGCTGGGAGCGGCCAGGCCCGGGGGAGCAGGCGGGTCGGGTGCGGCCAGGCCCGGAGCAGCGGCTGCCAGGCTGGGAGCGGCCAGGCCCGGAGCAGCAGCAGCCAAGTCCAGAGCAACTAGGTCGGGAGCGGCAGTGACCAGACCCGGAGCAGCTGGTTGTGGAATGAACCAGAGCAACAGAGGCCAGGCCCTGAGCAGCCAGGCCCAGAACAGCTCGCTCCTTGCCTGCCCCTGCCCCACGGCTGCTTCTCAGACATGGCTGGAAACTTTCGTGGGAACTTGAGGGTCTGCTGAATCAAGTGATGAAGGCTTAGATCTGGATGTGTTGAGTTAGTTTAGGACTGGGGTGTTGATCTGTGAGTGCCTTGGGTGGGGCCTGGATGAGGCTGGTTGACCTAGTGGGAAATGTCTTTTGTGTGAAGTGTATCATTGGGCATGTGGAGGTATTATTGATATGAGAAAATGCTAAGTAACTGATTTACTATCTGAAAAGGGATTTACTATTGGGGAAATTGAGGGAAGAAGAGACTGAACATAAACTGCACCTATGGATGAGGACAATGGGGGATGGGGGTGGGGGACGGAGGGTGGGGTGGGAACCTGGTGGAGGGGGGAAGAAATGAGGAACCTTTGTAATAATATGAACAATAAAGATTGATTTAATAAAAAATAAAAAAATAAAAAAAAATAAAAATAAAAAAATAAAAAATAAAAAAAATAAAAAATACATTAAAAAAAAATAAAGTGGGTTGAATGGAAACTAAGTGTCATCCAAGATTTTTTTAAAGCTCAATCGCTGAAGTACATAACTATTCATTGACAGATGGTGCAGCATGATGGGTGACTTTCATAGACGGTCAGCCCAACATCTGAGGCTTTTTAGTCTCCATCCAGCTCCTACTCTTGGTCATCTTGAGAGGTCAGGACTCGAACCTATGGTCTTGGGGCTTCCCTGCCTATACACGCCAGGAGTCTTCGCTCCCTGAATACGCCTCCTTTGGCCCCGCCCACAAAGCTCCACCTCCTCCCTGAACCCGCCCCTTCTTGGTCTCGTCTCTCCGAGCCCCGCCCACTAACAGTTCCGGGTTCGCACCGCTCCGGGTGCCTCCGGTCTTGAGGCACGAGGACCCACACGGGGCTGCTCCTGGCACTGCCTGACGGGCGCGTCCCTGACAGCCCGGCTGGGGCCTACCACGCGGACCGCGTTGGCAGGAGATGGGGGATTACAAGGCGTTAGAGCCCCCGCGGATCAGATGGCGGGGTGGGTTCCCACCTCCCAGCTCAGGCTCAGACGGGGCAGCCCGGCGCGCGCCGCGGCGGAGGAAAGGCCCCGGCGCAGGCCCCGGATCTCTGCGTCTGCGCCGCCGCCATCGTCCCAGCTGATGGGTCGGGATACACGCTCGCGCTCGTGGTCAACGGGTCGCAGGGATCGCAGGGGCCGAAGGCGGCGGAGCCGGAGCGGGAGTCGAAGCCGAAATCGGAGCGGGAGCCATGGGCGGCGAAACCGGCGGCGCCGGGATGACGAAGGGCGACGGAGGCGGCGAAGCCGGGAGCGCAGGTGCGGTCGCTGCGTAAGCAGCTCTGGGGGTTCAGCTCCTGCCCTGGGGAGGGGGGTGACCCCCGAATTAGGCAGCGAGGGCTTCCTGGAGGAATGGACGTCAGGCAGCGGAAGGAAATGAGAGGTGTTTCAGGCAGGTCACGGGGTGCTTGGAGGGACTGCGAGGAGCCCAGGAAGCGAGGCAGGTGACACAAAGGTAATGGGAGGTTAGATCGCGCAGGTTCTGGTCGTGGTGAAGGGTTTGGCCATTATTCGTAGGAAAGCACCGGGCCATGGGAGGACTGTGAACAGGGAATGACGTGGTCCGGCTTACTTTGCAGAACTCTCTCTGGCTTTCCCGTGAGGAAGGGACTGGCTGAGGAGGTGGGCAGGACTGACACCAGGGAGGAGGAGGACAATACAGTTGTCCAGGCAACAGATGATGGTAGCCTTCAGGAGAGGGAGACTGTGGGAGGCACAGTGAGGACGTGGGTTGAGTTTAGTGGGATTTTGGAAGTAGAGGTGACAACATTTGCTAATGGAGGTGGGTGTGAGAGAGCTGTTGATGACAGGTGCAGAACTCTAACTCCTGGGCCCGGGGTCTTAGTGTCCCCAGGGACCACAGTCCTTTTTCTTCTGGAGATGGGACGCCTTGCCAGAATTGGCTTGAGTTCATTCCAGCACAGAGGAACCACCAGCACAGTGATGGGGACTGACTCCAAGACCTGTGTCCCAGTGCTGGCTCAGTCCCTAACAGGCTGTGACACTCAGGCCGCCATTCTCTTGCCTTCTGTGATCCCCAAGTTTTCTCACCTGTGTCCTCAATATTTCCATGGGGACCCAAGATTTTTGTACAGACACTCATTGTCTCCTACTCCTTCACCCCAGGAATTTTCAATCTCTTTCATCTCATGACATACATAAAGCAATTACTAAAATTCCGCCCCGGTGCGGGTTGTGTGCACTGTCCTATTGTAGTTGAGTCTTGATTGTGCTGTTAGTGTCACTGGAAGGAATTGACCTCCAGTCCAACCAGCTCCAAGGACCAGCTCCAACTATAGTAAATGCTGGGCAGAAGTCAACTTTGTGGAACAGAATTTGCTTCAAAGGGGCTTTGGTACTCACCGAGTCCACCCCTTTAGTGTGTCATTCGGGGAGGTGGTAGGTTTGTAGTTGTAATCCAGCATCATCTGAAGCTGTCCATCAGGTGCACTGGCTCTGGGACCTCCCAGAAGTGCAAAGTTGGCCACCATTTGTGCCCTGCCTGGAGCCACCTGATGCGAGTTACAGAGTGATCTGCAGATGGCTGCTGCTTGTGTTGGGCCTGGAGATATTCGGAGAGGCCAACCGTGAACCAAGGCAGGCTGCTGCTAGAGCCAGGCCTGGGGCCACTTAGCAAGAGGCAGAAAGTATGCAGAGGCCAGCTGCTGCTGCTTTTAGAGATTTTAGGAAAGTCCAAAACCTAAGTCAGGAGAAGCCAGCTGTATGGGAAAAGCCACTAGAAATGCTTGGATGGTCCAGCAAGTTGAGCAGGGCTGGGTCTCAGGGAATCACCAGGGTGGGGTAAACAGTTGGAGCCAGGTTGATGGGGACTCAGATATCGCTCCTGCCTGTAGACTATGGGGAACCATGGCCTCTGCCAGCGCTTTTGCCTGGTAAACTGCACCCCAACTCTTGCCCTGATGCCAGACAATTCAGTTCCTCCCCACATGTCCCCGGTTCCTTTCAAGCTGCTATCCCAGTGCTGGAGCTCAGAGGGAGTGAGTCCAGCGTGTGCCCTTGAAGAGGAACTGCCTGGGACTCCAGCAGCCCGTCTCAGCCACAATCCCCACTGTTTTTTACAGCCAGAATTATGGGGATTCCCTACCTCTTCCATGGCTGGTTCTTTCTCATCCTCCAGGTCTCAGCTGACATGGTCCCTCTTCAGAGAGGCTTGGGCAGGGGATGGCGAGGAGCTGGTGTGGGGTTGAGCTAAGGGGACCTCCATAGCCAAGATTTACCTCCAGATATTTCATTGTATTATTTTTTTTAATATTTTTAATTGGGGACTGAAAGGTCCCAGGTTCGATTCCAGTCAAGGGCATGTACCTTGGTTGCGGGCATATCCCCAGTAGAGGGTGTGCAAGAGGCAGCTGATCAATGACTCTCTCTCATCAATGTTTCTAACTATCTCTCTCCCTTCCTCTCTGTACAAAATCAATAAAATATATTTTAAAAATAAATAAATAAATAAATAAATAAATAAATAAAATATTTTTAATTGATTTTTGAGAGAGAGGGGAAGAGATTTCCATTCAACTAGATTTTAGGAGTTTCTGAACGATGGTTGTTCTAATGTTTAGTTGTATTTTTTATGTGGTTGTTGGAGGATTCGAGTATGATGTTTACCTATGCCTCCATCTTGACTGGAAGTCTCCAGATTTTTTTTGTGTGAGCTTAATAAGTGGAACATTTAACATATTAAAGATAGGTTTAGTTTTTTCTCTCTTCATTCAGAGGCCTCTAAACACTAAAGAATCTATCCTTAGGGGCTTGCCCATTCTGTTCCCTATTCCCAATGCCTTTCCCTGGCCCTTCATTGCTGTCAGTTTTACTCCAGTTTTCTCCTACCCAACTGCATCACTAGTTTAAACACCACCTTCTCCTGTAAGCCCTCTCATCACCTTGGAGAGATCAGATCTTTTGATTCAAACTTTTTTTTTTTTAATTTTTTAAAATATATTTTATTGATTTTTTACAGAGAGGAAGGGAGAGAGCTAGAGGGCTAGAAACGTAGATGAGAGAGAAACATTGACCAGCTGCCTCTTGCACACCCCCTACCGGGGATGTGCCCGCAACCAACGTACATGCCCCTGATTGGAATCGAACCCAGGACCCTTCAGTCCGCAGGCCGATGCTCTACCACTGAGCCAAACCGGTTTGGGCTCAAACTTTTTTTTTTAATTTAAATATATTTTTATTGACTTCAGAGAGGAAGGGAAAGGGTTCAAAGGTCAACCACTGAGCCAAACCGGCCACTCATTGTTCCTGCACCATCCAGCCCCAGCCCGTCTTCCTGCCCTCATCCCCTCCCTCTTCCCCTCACTGACTCTGCTCCAGCCATACTTGCTGTTCCCTGAACATGCCAAGTAAATTGTTGCCCAGGCCTTTGCTCGTGCTATGCCCTCTGCCTGGATCATCCTCCACCCAGATCTCCCCATCACTCCCTCACCCACTTCTTCCAGTTACCGCCTCAGGGAGACCCTCTCTGACCTTTTGTCCTCTCGTTTTACATAATTTCTTTGTAGCTCAAAGCACTATCCCATATCACACTGTTTCCTTATTGATGTGAGTCCCACAAAGGAAGGGACCGTCAATGTTTTTGTCACTGCTCTGTTCCCAGAACCTGGAACAGGGCCAGCATACAGCAGGCGCTCACTAAATGTATGTTGAACAAATGACTGACCAGCGAGCAGTGAGCAAACCCTTTCGGATTTCCTTCCCAGGTCAGATTCAGAGGAAGACCAGTGGCAGCGGCGAGGGAGACGCTCACCGGCCCAGTCCTCCCCGTCGGACTCGGACAGTGAGCGGCAGTGGCAGCGCCGCCGGGCCCGCCGCCGGAGGACCCGCTCCTGCTCCTCCTCCTCCAGCTCTGCTTCCCCAGCCCGCTCCCGGAGCTCGGGGGACGTTGCGGCGGCCCTGAGCCAGCAGCAGGACCTGCAGGAGCGCCTGCGGCTGCGGGAGGAGCGGAAGCAGCAGGAGGAGCTGATGAAGGCCTTCGAGACGCCTGAGGAGAAGCGGGCCCGGCGCCTGGCCAAGAAGGAGGCCAAGGAGAGGAAGAAGCGGGAGAAGATGGGCTGGGGCGAGGAGTACATGGGCTACACCAACACCGACAACCCCTTCGGCGACAACAACCTCCTGGGCACCTTCATATGGAACAAGGTGAGCCCGGCACAGCCATGGAGTGCTTGGTGGTTGGCTCTGTGCTTGTGCCAAATTTTTCCTGCCTTATTGTTTTCACTTTGTGTGCTTTTTACAACTTCAGTTTCAAGAGATGTTAGCACTCACAGCACACATTCCCAGACTGCATTTTGCCATGCAGAATTTGTTTTATACACACATACGTACACTGGTTTTGCCAGGTTTTACTCTGTTAACTGTCTCTTGCAGTGTAACATTTCAGCCATGCTTTGACCCCACACCAGCCTAACCTCAGTGTGACTGGAGAATAGGTTCTTAGTGTCACACACTCAGGATGGAATTCCACAGTTATCCTCTGTCAGCTCAGAGCTGTCATTTCATTCTTGAGATGAAAATTACGCTCTGGTCATTTACCTGCAGTCATGGCCTTGGGCGCATAGCTGAAAACCACAGAATTTGTCTTTCATGTCTGAAGGTCAAAAGTCTGAAATCAAGGTGTCATCAGGGCCATCCTCCCTTTGGAAGATCTGGCAAAGGATCTTCCCTATCGCTTCCAGCTTCTGGTGGTTGCTAGGAGCAACCCAGAGCTTGTGGCTAAATCACTCCAGTCTCTGCGTCTGTTGTCAGTAGCTGTCTTCCCTCTGTGTTGGTATCTTCATATGGCGTCATCCTCTATGTCTGTGTCTAAATTTCCCTCTCCCTATAAGGACACCAAATATTGAATTAGGGCCCAGTCTAATCCAGTATGACCTCATCTTAACTAATTATATCTGCAGAGACTTTATTTCCAAATAAGGGTACACTCACAGCTTCCAGGTGCTGAGACGTGGACATACAGTCCAATCCCACACAGCACCCATCACTGGTGGGGAAGAGAGCGGGGCCACAGTTGGAGGCTGGGGCAGCTCCACTCATCGCCCACGCTGAAGTGTGGATTCTTCCCAATGTCCTGAACATAGAGCCCCTTCGCCTGCCTCGGGACTCACCGTTCCTCTGCCTTAGAACACTCCTGCCTCTTGCATGGAGGTTCTTTCTCCTCCGATCTCAGCTGACATGGTCCCTCCTCAGAGAGGCCCTCCTGGCCCCCTTGGTATTCTTTTTTTAAATTTTATTTTATTGATTTGAGAGAGAGAGATAGAAACATCAATGATGAGAATCATTGATCAGCTGCCTTCTGCATGCCCTCCACTGGGGATCAAGCCCACAATCTGGGCATGTGCCCTGACCAGGAATCGAACCATGACATCTGGTACATAGGTTGCAATGCTCAGCCACTGAGTGACTCCAGCCTAGCTGCCCTGGTAGTAATTATCAGGGCATTGCCTCTGCGTTTCTAGCACTTTACTAACAAACTAGTATTGTGCACCTGCCAGGTGCTGGAACCTTTGTGACTCGGGGCACATATCTATAAGCGAGGGCAACAAAAATCACTATCCCTGTCGGCCAGCAGCCTCGTGGGAAAGACAAACTGTAATAAGTAAGTTAGCAAAGTACAAGAGGAGAGAACGAAAGCAGGTGTGCAGCAGTGACCACAATAAGCAGGTCCAGCCCTGGCCGGTGTACCCAGTGGTTAGAGCATCAACCTGCCATCAAAGGGTCTCAGGTCCATTCCCAGTCAAGGACACGTACCTGGGTTGCAGGTTCAATCCCTGGTCCCAGTCGGGATGCATGTGGGAGGCAAGTAATCATTGTGTCTCTTTCACTTTGGTGTTCCCCTCTCTCTCTTCTCTCCGTCCTCCCTCCCTCCTCTCTTCCTACCCACCCACTCTACCTTACACTCTCTAAAAATCAATGGAAAGAAGATCCTTGGGTGAGGATTAAAAAATAAATAAGCAGGCCCAGAAAGGTCTCATTGCAAAGATGATTTCTAAATACACGCCCTAACTTATAATGTATAGTTCCTGCCAAACTGAACTCCACAGGGCAGTCCTAGGGCCTGACACACAGTAGGCACTTAATAAGTTCAAATGAACAAGCTTGCTGGAGTCTGGGCTATGCACGTACCTGTCCAGGCGTTTCTCCATGAGTCTTTCTCAGCCCAGCCTGGCCTTGGGCAGTTCGCCCCAGGAGAAGGCTTTGCCATATGCAGCGGGTGCAGCTGGGTTTCTATGTGAAGCAAGAACCAGCAGGTTCCAGGAGACTCCCAGGAGCCCTGCAGGAGTGGGCCCAGCTGCCTCTCCTCGGTGCTTCGCACACTCGCTGACGTAGAGGGTCTTTGGAGTTGGGTTTATAAAACTGACTGATTTGTAGGTGGGGATGGAGGGCGTCTGCTAATGGGAGGCAGTGAGGTGAGTCCTGGGATGGGTCCTTCCTCCGAGCTAAAGCAGATGCTGTGGTCCATTCATTTCGGCCTTTAGACATGAGGGTGTGGAAGCCTCCTCATGGGAAGTGCCAGGGAGGGCAGAAGAAGGGGGGCCCCTCACCCAGAGGCCTATGCTGACCCTTGCAGGCCCTGGAGAAGAAGGGGATCAGCCACCTGGAGGAGAAAGAGCTGAAGGAGCGGAACAAGAGGATCCAGGAGGACAATCGGCTGGAGCTGCAGAAGGTGGGCGTGCCCTTGACCTGCCCACATGGGACCAGGAGCTTTCCCTCGTCGGGGCTCCCAGGCTGGTTTGTCCTTGTGTAAGTCAAACAGAACCTGATTGGCTTTCATGGGAAGTCTTGGCTTTAGGCACAGCTGCATCCAGGGGCTCAGGCAGTGTCTCCAGCGAGCTGCTCCTCTCCACATCGGCTCTGCTGGCCTCTGGCTTGACTCTCAGATGCTCCTCTCAGGGTGGCCTCTCCTCAGAGTCTGGCGGGCTTGGGCCAGGCCTTGGTTATAGTCCCAGTCCCAACCCTAGGGGATCCCATGGCCTGAGAGGGCACAGGGCAGGCCTCACAAGTCCCCTCCACCCCTATCATCTAGCTGTCCTGCCCTCATCCTCCATGTGCATCCCCAGGTGAAGCAGCTCAGGCTGGAGCGGGAGCGGGAAAAGGCCATGCGTGAGCAGGAGCTGGAGATGCTGCAGCGGGAGAAGGAGGCGGAGCACTTCAAGACGTGGGAGGAACAGGAGGACAACTTCCATCTCCAGCAGGCTAAACTTCGGTGCGGTGCACGGAGCGGGGGTGGGGGAGGCTGCCCACTGCCACCCTCTGTTCACCAAAACCCTGGATCACTCCCTTCACCCACGCAAACTCATGGAGCTTGTTTCTGCCCCAGGGCCTTTGCACTTGCTATTCACGCTTCCTAGAACCCGCTATTCTATGGCTCCCCCTCACTCTTCGGGTTTTTGCCTATTGTGTTCTTGGGGGGTGCTCCCCAAGCCCCTTTTTGGCACTAGCTCGGTTTTGCGTGTACACCTGTTGCTGGTGAGCTCCCCCCATTGGGCTGGGTGCAGAGAGACCCCTGAATTCACCGGCTCCATGTGCGGAACTGCACAAGCTGAGTGGGAGCGTTCTGGGCCCGGAGCCTCACTACCTGTGCTCCTCCCTTCACCTGCAGCCCGCAGGCAAAGTGTTTGCTCATCAGCTGTGTTTACAGAGAAGGAAAATGAAGCTCCTGGGGGTGGGGTTATCTGAGGCCACAGGGTATCTGAGCCTGCGGCCCAGTGTATGTACACCCGGAGCCCACCCTCCTGCGCTTCTCCCTGCTACACCAGTGCTGGCCAAGGGCTTGGACCTTCCTGATCATGGCGCCCCTTTGGTTAGACTAGGGTCAGCCTCTGACGTGTGTCCCCTCGGGCACAGCACTAAAGCTCTAGATCTTTCAGCCGAGGCAGCCCGTCCATTGAGAAGTGGTCCTCTCTGTCCCTCTCTGTCCACTCCCACCCGCTGCTCTTCAGACCCCATGTTCACGCTAATCCCTGTCCCTCTCTGGGCCTGTTTCTCCTCATTAACCTGTCTGTCTTCTCCACCTGATGCCTCCTCTTTCAGGAAGCCTTCCCTGACCACCACCCCCTGCCAGCCAGGCTCCTACCCTAGTTCCCACACTGGTCACTCCCATCAGCAGCATGATGGCAGGGAAGTCACATCCTGGACTGACACTGCCTCCTCCTCCCTGCAGCTCCAAGATTCGAATCCGGGATGGACGGGCCAAGCCCATTGACCTGCTGGCCAAGTACATCAGCGCCGAGGACGATGACCTGGCTGTGGAGATGCATGAGCCTTACACCTTCCTCAATGGCCTCACGGTGGCTGACATGGAGGACCTGCTGGAGGATATCCAGGTACCACCCGGCCCTACCACCCACACCCTGGCCTCCCCAAGACCGTGCTTTCACCCCACCCCTCTGTGCCTTCACCTCCAGGTGTACATGGAACTTGAGCAGGGCAAGAACGTGGACTTCTGGCGGGACATGACCATCATCACGGAGGATGAGATCTCTAAGCTCCGCAAGCTGGAGGCCTCTGGCAAGGGCCCAGGTAACCCAGGGCCAGCGCTGACCCCAAGCCGGCTGACCAGAAAGACACCAGATGTCCTTTGGGGGACCCATCTGCATTGGTGGGGGTTGTGGGGACACATCTGCGTTGGTGGGGGTCGTGGGGACACATCTGCGTTGGTGGGGGTCGTGGGGACACATCTGCATTGGTGGGGGTTGTGGGGACACATCTGCGTTGGTGGGGGTCGTGGGGACACATCTGCGTTGGTGGGGGTTGTGGGGACACATCTGCGTTGGTGGGGGTTGTGGGGACACATCTGCGTTGGTGGGGGTTGTGGGGACACATCTGCGTTGGTGGGGGTTGTGGGGACACATCTGCAGTGGTGGGGGTTGTGGGGACACATCTGCAGTGGTGGGGGTTGTGGGGACACATCTGCGTTGGTGGGGGTTGTGGGGACACATCTGCAGTGGTGGGGGTTGTCGTGGGGACACATCTGCGTTGGTGGGGGTTGCCGTGGGGACACATCTGCGTTGGTGGGGGTTGCCGTGGGGACACATCTGCGTTGGTGGGGGTTGCCGTGGGGACACATCTGCGTTGGTGGGGGTTGCCACTGGGGGTGGTTCCACAGGAAGCTGACCTTAGGAACTCTGCAAACATCAGTTTCTTTCTATGGACCCTCCAGAGCCCTCTGGAGGCCTCTGTGAGAGCCACCAGGGGGCAGCACTGAGCAGTGGAGGCTCAGGTCCTGTGCTAAGGGCTCTCTCTCCCTGGATGAAGGGGCTTCCTTTAAAAATCACTGGGCAGCGCAGGATCCCTGGGAGCAGTACCAGAAGGGCTTTTTGTTTGGGTTTCAGGTTTTCTCCCGAGACTCAGTTTAAAAGCAGGACCCAGCTCTGCTTGGAGGGAAACCCCTCTGCTCAATCTGGTGTTCTTTTTTAAGAACATCAGTTCTCTTTTCATCTAAACGACCTGATGTGTATGTTCAAAAGGGAAATGAACTCCCCAGACACGGCCCCGTGTCCCCTGGGGCAGAATGCAGCAGGCCTGCCTCAGCCCTAAAGCACTGGCTTTAACCCTTCAGCTTCTGTGGACTTCGTCCCTGTCGCCAAGCTTCATCCTTCATCACCCACTTGGTGGCTGAGGACGTGAGCCCACCCCTCCCCCTGGCCTGTGTAAATGCCATTTGGAGCTCAGATGTGGGCCAGGACAGTTTCCTTCCTCTTAGAAAAGGATAAATATCCTTTATTTTTGTAAATGGAGTTTTGTTTCTCACGTCCTTTTAGCAATTACATCCTGCAGTAACTTCCGGAGAAAGGAAGAGAAACTCTTGTCAGAAACGTGTCAGGAAATCTCCTTTGGTGGCAGTGGGACTGGCTGTAGAACTGGTTGGAAGGGGGCGGGGAGGCCCGTGGACAGAGTAACAATTATGATCGGGACTCTGGGTGCAAACCCAAGCCAATAGGCAGCTCAGTGACCTTGGCCCGTCAGCTGCCTCCTGGGTGCTCAGTGTCCCTTTGTTTGCATGGGGATGATAAGGGTTGCATGGAGAGAAATGAGTTAGTGTCAAACGCTGGAAATAGCCCCTGCCTGTGTGGCGCTGACTCCGCCACGGCCCCAGCCTTCCAGCTGGGTCGGGGAGTGCTCAGACACATGGAGAAGCCAATCAGGCGTTTTTCTTGTTCCCGGGCCCTTTCTCTCCCACCCCCAGCACAGTGGCCCCTGCCACCCTCCTGGGCTCCCTTCGTCTTCATCAGTGAAGGAGCCCCTTTTCTCCCTTTTTTTATTTTTTAAAGAGGGAGTCAGAGGAAGAGAGAAATAGAAATAAATGACGAGAGAGAAGCGTTGATTGGCTGCCTCCTGCACAACCCCCACTGGGCATCAAACCCACAACCCGGGCATGTGTCCTGATGGGGAATTGAACCGTGACTTTCTGGTTCAGAGGTTGACGCCCAGCCACTGAGCCTCGCCAACCAGGCACACATCCCTTTTTTGTGGTTTGTGCCCTCGTCTTGGTGGGGCACAGCCTGCCGTGGCTTCTGAAGGAAGGCAGGCGTAGTTCTGTGATGTCCTGTGTGTCGGGAAGTGCTTCTCTCCCTCTGGCTGTGGCAGCGGGCTGGCTGTAGACTTGAGCAGGGTGTTTCTTCAGAGGCTGAAGACAGACCCTGCCCCACTGGCTGAAGGGTCGTCCCACATGTCTGCCCGTTTCCAAAGCTCTGCCGGTGGCCGTTCAGGTGGCATCCAAGCCTGCAACATGGCTTCCTTTAAACATGACTTAGCAGCTCTTCGCTTCTGTGGGAACAGACCAGCAGGGCTGTTTGTTTGGGTTGTAAGTTTTCACTAGTTGCTCCGTCTATTTGAGTGATTGTAGAACTTGGCTCTGCTTGGCCTGGTGAGGGGGTTATTGCCGAATTTGGTTTGGACCTGTGTTATTTCTGGGCCTGCCACAGACCAAGGGCGGGCTTTCAGCCCGTAGGCTGACCACTGAGGCCAGCCCTGCTAAGGGCGACTTAGTTACACAATGAAGGTGTGATTCCGGGGTCCAAGGTTGGTTGGCTACAGGAACTTGGTTCCCTCTCAACCTTATCTGATCAACTGTGACCATGTGTCCACGACTGTGGTTCTTGAATCCTGCTTTCAAGTGGGAGCATGGTCTTGTCACCCACTTCCTATTCACAGCAATGGGAATCCCAGGGGGTCCCGGCCCTCAGGAAGCCACATGGTGGGTGTGAAGGCAAGGGAATCGTCTGGTAGTCCGGAAAGGCTTCCTGGTGGAAGGTACATTCTTGCTGAGTGCTGAGGAGTGGAAAGTACCCCATGTGCAAAGGCCCTGGGGCAGGGGCTGGGCATCTTTGGTAAACAACAAGGAGCCTGGTGTGCCAAAGCACGTAGGCTCAGGCAGTGTCTGGCCTTGTCCTCAGGGGCCCTTCAGTCTAGAGGGAAGGGATGTGTCCTTGGGCCTGCAGCCCGTGATAGATGCCAGAACAGATTTCCCTGCAGGCACGGGGCCTGTTTGTCTCAGGCAGTTTGTCCTGCTGTGGCGGAGCATCCTCTGCGCCAGGCACAGCACAGTCCTCACATGCATGATCTCACCAGGCTTCATAGAAGGGAGAGCGGAGGCCCTTGCCCAAGATCACCCAGCTGGGACTAGCGTAGCATAACCTGAATTCTAAACAGCTACCAGGCAGACACTCTTGGCCCTTCTGTGTGGTTTGGGGAAGGGAGCGGTGGGCACGGTTGATAGACTGGGTACCTGGGTCCAAGCCTGGTGTTGAGCGGCCCCTGCCTCACCGTAGGCGAGCGACGAGAGGGCGTTAACACCTCGGTCAGCTCCGATGTGCAGCTGGTCTTCAAAGGGAAGACGTACAGCCAGCTGCAGGTCATCTTCCAGGGTATCGAGGGCAAGATCCGGGCTGGCGGCCCCAACCTGGACATGGGATACTGGGAGAGCCTCCTGCAACAGCTGCGTGCCCACATGGCACGTGCCAGGTGAGTGGGCAGCAGGCCTCAGCCAGGCACTCTACTGAATGGGTGGGTCTTGTCCCTCTTGGGATCTTGCCTGGGGGACAGGTCATCTCCATCAGGCCTGCTGGGTAATCTTGGGGCCACAGTACCCTGGCCAGCGGTGCCCGCTGTGTCCAGGAAGAGCTGCTCATTTCCCACCTGGATTCAGGGCCCTGTGGGGGTCAGGCAGGGCTTCCCACAGCGGCCTTCCACACGCCTTTCCCTAGAGCCTGGTCTTTGTTTCTCTTAGGGTTAACAGGCATCGCAAGAAGCCTCCAGGCTGCTGTCCCCTCCTGCTGGCCCCGCACACCCTGTGTACAAATTCTCAGCGTGCTTGGCACTGCTGTGTAAACACAGCGCCTGCCTGCCACTAACTGTGGACTTGCCTCTAAATTTATCCCCTCCGCTGCTCCGCCTCTTTCTGCCCTGCCTTGCGTTAGGGTTACACCCGCATGTGAATACCTGCTCCAAGGACTTGCCCCTCCTAGGCATGGGGGTGCCTGACCTCAAGCCCGTCTTTATGGCCAAAGCCTTGACCGTGGAATGGCCATGCTAGGCTGGAGCCCCAGCTTGCGTACCCACTTACTGCCCTCTCAACCTCTTGTGTCCTGGCAGCAAAGGGAGGGGCCCTGAGAAAGCCTGAGGGAGGGTGGGGCCCCTCCCTCACCCAGCCAGGGTGACCCCCAGGCCCTCGTTTCAGGCTTCGCGAGCGGCACCAGGACGTGCTACGGCAGAAGCTCTACAAGCTGAAACAGGAGCAGGGCGTGGAGAGCGAGCCGCTGTTCCCCATCCTCAAGCAGGAGCCCCCGTCTCCTGGCCACAGGTAGGCCCAGCCCCAAGTTCCCCTTCTCGCCTGGGGCCCGGGGTGAACCCCACGCGCACTCTGGAGGGGTCAGGGCGCCGCTCACCCAGCCCTGCCCTCTTTCCCTGAAGCCTGGAGCCCGAGGACCAGGCCCTGACCCCACCAGGGCCCTCCTTGGAGGGCGGCCCCGGGGAGCCGGAGGCAGAGGAGGCCACAGCGGCAGAGGCCGAAGCCGAGGGCGAGGCCGTGCTCATGGAGGAGGACCTGATCCAGCAGAGCCTGGACGACTATGACGCCGGCAAATACAGCCCCCGGCTGCTCACGGCGCACGAGCTGCCGCTGGACGCCCACGTGCTGGAGCCCGACGAGGACCTGCAGCGCCTGCAGCTGTCGCGGCAGCAGCTCCAGGTCACAGGTATTCGCCGCGAGGCCCGGGGTGGGCTGTGGGCTGTGGGGCAAGACGCCCTGAGGCTGCGCCAACCAGGGGGCTGGACGGTGATCTCGTGTCTGTGCCCGCCCTCCCTGCCTGTGCGCATCCATCCATTTGTCTCCTCACTCACTCATTCGGACCTGGTGACCGCTGGCCCCAAGGATAGAGGGATGGTGGTTACGGGGTCGGGAAGTTTTGTTTTTTTGTTGTTGGTCTTCACCTGAGGATGTTTTTTCCATTGATTTTTTTTTTTTTTTTCTAAAGAGAGTGAAAGGGAGGGAGAGGGGAGAAATAGCAACATTGTTGTGAGAGAGACAACATCTATTGGTTGCCTCCCACACACTCCCTGACCAGAGTTGGGGGTTGAACCTACAACCACAAAGGTATGTGCCCTTGGCTGGGAATGGCGCCTGCGACCCTTCAGTGCACAGGCTGACGCTCTAACCACTGAGCCAGGGCAATGGTTGGTTTTACATCCTATTCCCAGCCCTGCTGTGAGCTCCTTAGGCACCTCAGCCTCCCTGAGCTACTCTGGTCCTGGGTACAGAGAGGACCGGCCTCAGGAAGGCCCTGCCCGGGGCCCCCGGAGGTCTAACCGCCAGGCTCCCCGGCCACCCAGCGGGATACACACGTTTGGCGCGCACACTGGGAGGACAATGGGCATTGGCGGCGGAGGACGGGCACTGGGCGGGCAGGGGAGCTGGGAGCCAGGGCCTGCCGCTCCCTGGGCCTCCGGGGCCTCAGCTCTCCTGTGAAGGCTGCGGCAGGAGCTGAGGCTCTGGTGCCCCGCCTCCCACAGGCGACGCAAGCGAGAGCGCGGAGGACATCTTCTTTCGGCGCGCCAGGGAGGGCATGGGCCAGGACGAGGCGCAGTTCAGCGTGGAGATGCCGCTGACGGGCAAGGCCTACCTGTGGGCCGACAAGTACCGGCCTCGCAAGCCGCGCTTCTTCAACCGCGTGCACACGGGCTTCGAGTGGAACAAGTACAACCAGACGCATTACGACTTCGACAACCCGCCCCCCAAGATCGTGCAGGGCTACAAGTTCAACATCTTCTACCCCGACCTCATCGACAAGCGCTCCACCCCCGAGTACTTCCTGGAGGCCTGCCCCGGCAACAAGGACTTCGCCACCCTGCGCTTCCACGCCGGGCCGCCCTACGAGGACATCGCCTTCAAGATCGTCAGCCGCGAGTGGGAGTACTCGCACCGCCACGGCTTCCGCTGCCAGTTCGCCAACGGCATCTTCCAGCTCTGGTTCCACTTCAAGCGCTACCGGTACCGGCGGTGATGGCCCGGCGGCGGTGATGGCCAGGCGTGAGGCTGGCGCCCGTCCCCGGCGGGCCACAGCCCCTCGTCTCCTGGAACTGCCCCCGAGACCCGAGGGAGGACGGAGAAGGGCCGGCCCAGGATCCTGACATGCAGGAGGGGCCGCCGGGGGGACTCTTAGAGCCCAGGGAACCCAGCAGGTGTCAGCCAGCCTCCTGTCCACGTGGGCAGTGAAGCCCGAATTCCAGCTTAGACAGGCCCTGCAGCGCAGGCCTAGGGGCGGGGGGGGGGGGGGGGGGAGGCCCAGACATGGGGCACCAAGCTTCTGAGGAAATCCACAAACAGCATTGATTAGCCCTTGGACACAGCCAGCTGTTGGAGGGACCACACTCCTGGCCCTTTCCCAGCGGCCCCCTCAGTGCCCACTCCAGTGGAACCCGGACCCTGGTGGTGCATGTTCCAAAAGGGACCATTTGAGGGACATCCCACTCACCTCCCCTGGTGCTGGCGGTGGTCAGTCTCCCCAAGTGGACACAAAGGACCTGTCACCCACCAACAGGTCCAGGAACAAGGGTCACTGAGAAGTCCTTCCGCAGCCACTGAGCACAGGAGCGCCCAGGAGACGCCTCCATGGGTGCAGCTGTGTTCCCCTCCTCGGACTGCTGTTTTTAAGGCCACCCCCCAGCCACCACAGAGCTGCCCTCGTCCTGTCTCGGGTGGGACAGTCACTCGCCTATAGGCACAGGCTGTCAGCAGCTCAGCCGACCCACCCCAGCAGCATGGCTGTTGGCGCTCGGTTATGAAGACGTTTCTAGAGGGAAAGGATCGCACCAAACCCTCCCGGCTCCTCGGGCAGCCCCGCCAGTGCCCCGTCACCTGGAAATGTTTTAGGTTGTTGCTCTAAAAGGACTTTTTTTTAATGGGGAGGGGAAATCTTGTTTATTTTCATTAATTGGTCTACTCATAAGAGTACTTTTTTTTTTTTTTAAATAAATGCTCTATTTTAGAATACTCATAGATTTTCAGATATGCTGGGAAGATAGCCCGAGTTCCTACCCCCACATCCAGCTGTCCCCATTGTTAACGTCTCCTGTGACCACTGCACGTTCGTCACAACTGATTCATTAAACCCGACCAAGAAGACCTTTTAAAACAACCACACCTAAAAATAGCCAATTGTTCCTTAGGAAGCTGCTTGTAGCCAGTTTCCTCCGCCCCCGCCCCCGGCCCATCGGCCTCACTCCCATCAGAAGGTTATCGGACTTGACCATGGATGCCGGAGGTGAGGAGCTCTCACCTAAGCCAGGTGGTGACTCGGGGAAATGCACCTGGTTAAGGTGCACCCTCTCCACACGGCAGGCAGACCCTGGCTGCCCACCAGCCTGGTCCGGGATGAAGGGCCGTTTCTGTCCCCGTCAGAGCCCCGGGCAGAGATCGCTAACAGAGCAGCCTTGGAATCCCTGGCAGCCGCTACCAAGGGGTCCATGGCCTGCGCACCTGTGCTGGGTGCAGGACAGCCCCTGGAGGCACAGGTCCGGATGTGGGTAAGGCCCCCGTCCGCTCTCAGCGCAGGGGCTGCGTGCCTCTGCGGCAGCCCGGCCGGCCTCGGGTGAGCTCTGTACACGGGACTTGTGTCCACTTGGCCAAGAGGCTCACAGAGGCCCGCATTTTCAGCCCTAGAAAGTGGCAGGCGGGGTTCAAACCTGGATTTCTCCAATTTGGAAAACTCGACCTCCTTGGCCATCACCCGTGTCCCAGCCTCAGTTTCTCCACCTGCCCCCAGAGGAATGCACCCAACACCAGCGTCCCAATTCCTCTGCAAACGATGTGTCCCCCCAGGGGAGAAGTTGGCCATCTGCCCGACTTGCTGGGTGTGTTTAGCCAGGAGCCCCTAGTCTGGAGGGAGGAGAGGGGCTCAGACGCCAGCAGCCCAAGGGGTCAGGCTGGAACAGGGGGAGGGCACCAGGTCTGAGGGACCTCAGAAGGGACACCAGGCTTCCTGGAGGGGGGCCGCGGGGCTGAGGAGGGTTGGGCCTGCCTTGCAGGGGGAAAGGCAGGTTCCCGCAGGGCAGAGCTGAATGCACGCCCAGGAGCTGGACTCCCCGACCACTGAGGAACCATACAGGTGAGTGAGCTGAGCAGGGGCCCGAGCTGGGTGTCCACGAGACCCCTGGGCAGACTGGAGGCACCACACCCATCCAGCTGCCCCATCGCCCCCACCCTGCCCAAGGTCCACCAATGTTTCTCAAGCTAACCCCAACCGCCACTCCCATTTCTTCCTGCCTTCAGCTATGTCCAAATCTAAGAATAGATGCTCCCTGCCTGGCCCCCACCGGAAACCACAGCCACAGGGGGCACATCCTAAGCCTAACCTCAGATCCCAACACTTGCTCTCCCCCCCCCCCCCCAGGCCTCCTGTGTGCCCATTGAGCTAGGAGGGGGTAAATAGGGCCCAGGAGGTAGAGGAAGCCCAGAGCTTCCCTTGGCCATGTCATTTCCTCCCTCTGGGCCTCAGTTTCCCCACTTACAAAATGAGCATCTTTACCTCCTGCATTACAGAGCTGCAGTGAGATCCAGACCAGACTAAATTCCCAGTGAAGTGTCCATCTCTGACCCCTGCCCTGGCCAATTCCCAGAAGGAGCATTAGCCTTCTTATCTCCAGGCACAGGAAGTGGGAATGAAACCGTCTCCACCTCGCACCCACCCCCACACCCCGCCCTCCCCCCATCTGGAGCCCCAGCTCCACATCCTCCTCCCACAGCATCTGCCTTCACTGCAGGTCCCCGAAGCCTCATGCTCTCCTGCCCCCAAAGTCTTGCACATGTGATGTCTGCCATGTCTCCTGCACCGAGAAAGCCCTCCTCACCCGAAAAGCCCCCGCTCTCATGCCTCCTGCAAGCACCAGGACGCCCTCCAGGCTCACTGTGCCCTATGACTTCCTCTGGCCCGCGTGCCTGAAGGGGTTAGGGCTGTGTCAGGCTCTGTCATCTCTAGCCTGGAGGGTCTTTGAGAGCAGGTCTTGTTTCCAGTCCTACCTGAGGCTCATCATTGTCCCACCACACGGGCCACACACGCAGTTGCCCTTGAGGAGGAATTAAAGTGGAGCAAGAGCCCTGACTGGTTTGGCTTAGTGACTAGAGCACTGGCATGAGGATTAAAGGGTCCTGGGTTCAATTCTGATCAAGGGCATACGACCAGGTTGCAGGTTCGGTCCCCAGTGGGGAATGTGCAGGAGGCAGCCAATTAATGGTACTCTCTCATCATTGATGTTTCTCTCTCTCTCCCTCTCCCTTCCTCTCTGAAACCAATAAGAAAAGATATAGTGGAGCAAGAAAAAAAGGGGGGGAGGAGCAAGACTGCTGGAGATCAAGGCTTTACAGAAGAGGGGGCCATGGAGCCAGGGCTCTGCCAGATGCATAAGAGTTGGGAGATTCCTTGCCAATCCAGAGAAAGTAGGGTTAGCCCTGGCCAGTGTGGTTCAGTAGGTAGAGCACTGAAAGGTCCCAGTTCAACTCCTAGTCTGGGCACATACCCAGGTTGCAGGTTTGATCCCCAGTCAGGGTGTATGCAGGAGGCAACAGATTGGTGTTTTTCTCTCCCTCTCCCTCTCGCTCTCAAATCAATTTTTTAAAAAAATTTTTTAAAGAGAGAGGGAGAGCCCTGGCTGGTTTGGCTCAGAGCGTCGGGTCCCGGGTTCGATTCCAGTCAAGGGCACATGCCTGGGTTGCAGACTTGGTCCCCAGTAGGGGGCATGCAGGAAGCAGCTAATCGATGATTTTTTTTTAATTATTATCTGTGTACATATACCATTGCCCCCCCCATACATGCCCTCCCTCTCCAGAGTTTTGTGTCCATTGGTTGTACTTATATGCATGTATACAAGTCCTTCGGTTGATCTCTTATCTATTATACCCCAGATCTCCCTACCCTCCCCGCTGTAATTTGACAGTCTGCTTGTTGCTTTACTGTCCCTATATCTATCTTTTGGTTCTTCAGTTTATAATGTTCTTTATTATCCATAAATGAGTGAGGTCATGTGGTGTTTCTCTTTCATTGACTGGCTTAATTCACTAGATGATTCTCTCTTATCATTGATGTTTCTCTCTCCCTCTCCTTTCCTCTCTGAAATCAATAAAAATATATTAAAAAAGAGAGAGGTCGGGGAGAGAAGTCAGGGTTACCTCGCGCAGGGACTCAGACAATGGGAGGGAGTGGGCGGGGCATCTGGAGGGATGGGGGGTGAGCCAAGGCATGGGGACGGAAAGGTGGGGGGCAGAGAAGCCAGAGAAGGGGCTTCCAGGCAGAGCCTCGGCGAGTCCAAGGCTAGCGTCCACCTTCACTCAGACCCTGCCCTAGTGTGCCCCTCCCAGGCCCCCAGGACTGAGCAGGGTCCTGACCCACTAGGTGCTCACTTCTGGAAGGCCCAAGTTTACCCCTCCATGGCCCCGGCCCTGGCTCTCTCCACCCACCTGAGGCCCCAGGACTGCAGGCAGGAAGGGCCTTCGAGAAGCTTCTCTCAGCCCCCTGCAGCACGGCCCAGCACCGTGCCTTTGCTGTAGTCGTGCCCAGCCGATCCCAGAGGCTGGTGAGACCCCGGCCCAGAGCCCCCGGGTGTCTGGGGCTTTCGAGGAAGTCAGCCCCGCCGGGAAGCCCATTCCAGAGCCCGGTTCCCGCTCCCACGCCTCAACCTCTGAATCATTCCTGCAGAGACAGACTCCAGACCTCCCCCTCCCCGCCTGGGGGAGGGAGGGGAGGAGGGGGGAGGGAAGCAACCTCCCTACCCTAAGGCAGGCTTTCCCACCCGGCCGGTGCCTCTGGGCCTCTGGCAGCTCCGCGGCCCCGCCCCGGAAATGCCTCCCCTGTCACCCACCGCCCGCACTCACCTGCTGCGGGAAGGCCTGTCAGAGGCTGCCCACCGGCTTCTGGCTGGAGGGTTAGGGGTCGCCCCTCCTCTAGGCACCCCAACCCCAACCCCAGCCCTGGAAGGGGCCTCAGACCCACCTACTGGGTGCCAGGCCTGA